TGCTTGGATATATATCTGTTGAGAGTATAGTATCTTCGTTAGCCTTTCTTAAAAGGGACCTTGTGCTGACTAACCATTCAACCTCGGAAGATGCGCCAGTTTCCGCTTGTCCCAATCGGTGGCATCTTCGATGACCACTAGGTAAAAGTTAATTTAGCTACCAGTATTTTACACCAGCCACTCCGCGATGATAGCCGTCATACACGCATTTTATCGAACTGTGCTCACGAAGGAAAGTTGCCCGTGCCGCATGTAATAAGCGGATTTAGTCTTCCTTTTTTCCCGCAATTGCTTTTCGCGTTTTTTTTTCGTTTTTTTTTTAGTGAAAAGGGGTTTATTAATAGCTCGTTTGCCGCTGACTTTGAGTAGTTTAGCGCCGACTCGCTACACGCATGGGTTAAACGAGCGCTTTCAACTACGTCGAACATATTTACGTCACAAGATACCCGCTTATGGTTTTCCGCAAATTCCGAGGCGCCACATGTCGGTTAATGAGGGGGAGGCTGAAGGCAAAGCTGTGACGCTCGGAATCAATGCGATTCCAACTAAATTGTCATTCAACACCCGTGGTTCGCGTTTGTTCTTCGGGTAACTTGCGAATTTCAGTCATTTCCTTACACGTCAGAGCGCTTCATTTTCCACTATATATGAAACATCGGTTCGTGCAATGTGAAGCAGGTTGTCTTTTGGACTCGACCAACGGAGCAAAGGGGGTGCCCTGCAACGAAGCCTTATCCCCCCCCCCCCCCAAAAAAAAATGCCGCCGTATCCACGAAGTGAATGATGAGTGGGCGAAGCTCCGGAGGTAAACCTGGTAAACCACGAATCCTCCGTACATTTTGCCCACTCGATTTTATTGCAACGCTCCCCCTAGCGTACGTCGCCGCACTATATCGAACGATGACGCGCGCCATATGTGGCATCATTCCTATTTTATAACACCTCGCATCTTTCATAATCAACTACACGTACCGCCGTCTAGTTTATAACATCTTGCATCTTTTGGACGGACGGACGGACGGATAGACGGATGGATATGGCTGTACCCTTTAGATCGGGCGGTGGCTAGCGTAATACTTAGAACTGAACGAGAGGTGGCTACATACAGGGGACGCACAGCCCACGCCTTAAGGAGCTTCGCTTCTAAAAAAAAAAACACGTATTAACCGTTCAGTACCCTTCTATTCGCCCACTCCTTTCTCGATGGCGCAAAGCTACAGTATTCTAGTTCTAACTAAGCGTTAAAACGGTGACCGCAATGTGCCACTCGAGCGCTGCCTATGCAAAGAAACGTTGCTGTTTTCATTCTCGCGATGGCCGCCGTCATGCGAAAGACGTACTCCGTTCTAGTGCATGTCAACGATCGAAGCACTCAATTGACAGTAACACGCTCGCTGCTTAACCAAAGAGTGTACTTACTGATCCGTCGCGGCACATGTTAACAACTTCACCTGCCCGGGTGCAAAAAACAAATCGCTACAATGCCGAGAATAGTCTATACAGTGTAAAGGACGAGTGGCGCCACCTACATACGTATCTGCAGCGGCGTCTAAAGCACGTACTTCACCCAATGAACTATGCATGTTCGTATAGTGCCTCAACTATTGACCACTGTACGCGGTAATGCGAACACGGGACATTCCAAATTAGTACGCCTCTCAAATGACGGCAAGCTGCGACCAAGAGTTGCACTGCCGAAGAGGCAGCTGCTGCTTCGTTTTTCGATTCAACCCTCAGTAACTTATGCACATCTGCTTCTGTGTGGACGTATTTTTCTGCAATTAAACTGGTGGCTTATACCGGCTGAGAGGTAGTGTTTTTGCGGTGCTGTACATTAACATCTCGCAACATTCCCAATACGCAAAAAAAAAAAAATGCTAGGCATGAACGCTCATGTTCTCTATTCCTTCTTCGTGTAGGGTAGCGAGTCGGGTTGGCCTTGTGTGTTCTTCGCGCTTAGCTGTTTGCGTGCGTAGCTGAAGCTTTTCTGGCGATTACAACACACTCGAGATCCCAAGAAACGGCAGCAAGGGGATGATGGAAGCCTGCAATACAGAATTTCCCCAAGTGGGAAAAGTTCTAGCCTTGAGGAAGACAAGTCCACTAGTCCAAACGTCGGCTAGAGCGCGCAACCCCCGTTTACCGGTTTTCTTCAACTCACTCGAGATCACTCAACGTGCCGTGGCGTAAGACGACCGGTGCCCCGCTTTTGAGGACGGTGCACTCCTGATATCAAGTGAGCGGCGCTTTCCTGTTCAACGCGTAAACGTTTGAGAAGGCTACCGACAGGTCGAGCTACGTTGCAACCCATGATAGAAGACGTCCAGTTAGATGCACCTCGGGAGACGCCATCTTGAGGGTATCGCGATGAGTAAGTCACGTAGTTTCGACTACCTGCCGCGCTTCACACTGGCCTCGAGGCGCACCTCTTACGCTGGAACCTGTTCTATTTGGCAGCTTCTTGTTCACGTCATCCGGAAGCGGGGGCACCGCACTCTTGATGGGGAGGAACTTCGTTCGGCGATGGTTTAAGCTCCTTCTTCCGGACGGAAGTCTACTGACACGCTGACCAAACTAACGGGACCCCAGAACCGGTCGCCGAGCTTCCCCTTGCGTCTACGGGAAAGTACACGCGCTGAAAGTGGGCGAAACACAGCGGCCGGCGAAAGCGGGGCCTCGAATCAAAAAAAAAAAAAAGAACAAAGCTTCCGGGACGCCGCATTCCGTTTCAGCCAAGGTCACTCGCGGACATCGACCCGGCCAGCGCGATTCGGCCGAGAAAAATAGAGGCCGCCGCGTTGGAGGAAGAAGCCGGCAGCGGCCGACGCGGGAACGTCCTCCTCCTCCATGCGCGTGAAACCGCGAGAAAAGCTATTATGCTCGTGTTGAAAACTTCACAATGCCGAAAGTGCAGTGTACTCGAAAGCACCGCTCTTGCGCTTGGTAAGAAAATGCAACAGGGGCGACGCCGTCGGCGAGCTCCCGCACCAGTTCGCCGTGACGTCATGATGTAAACGGCGTCCTGTGTCGCGTCTCTGTGTCGTCGTTTTGTTCTCACGCTATAACTATCGTCATGCCATACCAACTAGCCCAAGCTGCCACACTTCTAAGTCCTGCCTACGTAGTGTTTTTGGAAACAAAATGACTTAGTATAGCAAAGCGACCAAAGTAAGCAAAGAATGCTCGGGAATTTGTGACGTCACGTTCAGTCTCTCTTGGCCGAGTGTTGCGCTGCGATTAATCACGGTAAAAGGCAAATGTCTAACGTGGGTGGAAGGGGTGGGAGAGATGTACCCTAAAGCTCGTTATAATTGGCCGAATTCTGAAGAGGCCATTCGCATGGTCCTCGCGATAACGCCGCACCGAGGCCAGCAGCACGGAACAAAAGCTTGGGGCTGACCTCGACCACGTCGTGACTCGTGCAGGAAACCGACGCCGTCCACGTTACGTGCCGTATTTTCCGGCTCGGTAGGCGCGCGTCAGTAAAGCGTGCCACGTTCTCCGCGGTCAAATTCTTCATCGGCGAAGAAGCGGTGTACGACTACAGTTCCGCGTATTTGACCCGTGCGTCAATGAAACACCCGCCAGCGGTCCGCTAAAGAAGTGAACGGAGCACAAGTGCACTGTGGCAAGCCAGGAACGAATGTCGCCAAAACGACGACGATGCGTCAGGTAGCACGCGGCTCGCGTTGAAAATTCACACGGCATTTATGTCTGACAGACATTTTCTATTTAAGTGCAGGCATCATCATTGGGCTTTCCCGTCAATCAGCCTTGTTTTAGTGTCAGGGTAGAAAGTTTCGCTAGCGATCCATCGTTAGGGAAGTGGCTCACAGTCGTTTTGTTGTAACCAACCCCACAGCGAGGACGACTAGAAGTACAAAAAAAAAAAGCTAGGAAGAACAAACCTTTCATTGAAATTAATGCAAATGGTTTCTTCCAAAGCTAAAACTAGGGGGGAGTTGAGAGTTCTGACACCCTTCGAAAGTTTTTCATGCTTCAACTTTTTTGGGTGATACTAAAGTATTTACACTTCACATTGACCACTAGATGCCAACGTTATCTTTTTTACACTTAAACACCCCACAAAAGAAAAATTCATGGAAAACGGTTACCTGTACAGAAAATCTTTAGCGGTTGCTTCTGCCACCTCATGATTGAGACCTGATCGTCTTGTGTAGTAGCTGAGCAGAGCATTCTCCCACTGCTTTGTCGTCCACTCAAGTCTTTAGAATGCCAGGTCTACGCTAATTGTTGAAATAGCGTTTTGGGGACCCCAAAATGCCTGTTCTGTACTAATCCTTGAAGTCCCATTTATTGGTCCACATAATCTTACAAAAAATATGCAGATTGAGCCAAAAAAAAAAAGCTCAGCACACCATAGACGGAAGCTACGACACCTGCCCACCTCTGTCAATGCTATGCTGCGTTTTTCTGTTCAAACCTTTATTTTTTTATTTTTTTAAACAATGCACCACTGTACTAGCCCCTGATCATGTGTTAACAGAGCATGTTCACAGGTCAAATGTCTGCTTTTGATGCAGCTTTTGCCATGACCAAGCACTGGCACAAAGCTTGGTGATAATGCAAGTTTTGCCGTTCTCTAGGGCCATAACATAACGTTTTCCCACAAATCTGACTGAAATGAAAGGGATGCATTTTATTCAGTCCTGTAATGCACCACTGGAATGTTTATTATCGTAAGTGGCTTAAGTAATTGCGATTCACAACCTACTACGTCTTCAGGTTGTATTCCAGTGCCGCACTGGTGGTGCGAATCATGCCGTACATCTACAATATTGACGTTTTAGATTACCCCAACCCCTTTCAGTCTGAATATTGCTGTATGGTAAATGCATCGTCACCCACCAAAGAATTTTTTTAGTTTGTGACAAATAGTCGTACACACACATTTTCAAACAAGAACAACATTACAAGCACCTCACATTCGGCATGATCGCAATGAAAAACTTTCTCTTCATATAGGATTCAAAGCACAGTTTTGTATAATCACCTACTCTGCTTATGCAGCATTGTTTTATTTTAAAATTTAGTCTTCTTCACACGCCGAAAGTCCATGTTCTTTTAGCTGAAGAAGGTGGCTGGCAAGAACAAGTCCAGCTCTTCTTTCTTTAAGTCCCATGTATTCTGTACGCTAGAAGTGAAGAAAGATTAGTCATGTTACAGGGGCACCGCTGTTCTTGCTCTTAAAGGCAACCCTAAGAACCAACATCACATTGCATCTTTTTTGATACCTGTTGCGTATCCAGCTATTCTAGCTCACTTGATGTCGCACTTGAGCATAGATAAGCAGATTTCGATACGAGGCCCGTTTTATTAAAGAGAACATGCGAATAAATCCATTTTTCCATGCCAAGTGCAATATAGTTATGCTAATGCAATCCTTGCTAGCGTTATTCCTGTCACTTCATCAGGTTGTATTAGCTGATGGAACCATCCATTGCCTTATAATTGCAGATCAAGAAGATGTACGGGGCAAGTGAATGTTCACGTCAATGCATTTTTGCTTACAAAGATGCTACTGTTGAAAAGCGCCGGTTTTTGTGAAAGTTACTCAAACCCATTTGGAAGAAAAAAGAAATGAAAAGTTTTGGCCTTGTTAAGGGGGCGGTGAAACGCTTTTCAAAATAATGATCGAAAGGCTGCATTTTTTTTACTCGCGAATCAACTGCCGAAAAAACTTCCTAAAAGCTGTCAAGTAACAGCGACATGTAATGGCTGCGTGCTTTAAGCACTTTTTCTCTTCTTTTATACCAGCAAGTGCGCTAGAAGCGATGCAGGGGGGGGCAAGAAAAGGAAGTTTGTTTATCAGCACACACGATGCACTTTTCCTTTTTCCTTTCTATTTTTTTTTTGAACGTGCAGGTGATGGTGAGCACATTCGCGGGCACGTCGCGGCGACTGCAGCAACTGCATAGCTCGTGGTGCTTAAGTCGGCTAATGGTCGTACACTTTTCGATGGTACAGTCATTGGTGTATATAGCATCATTTGGGAGCAACTTCCAGCCGACTTTAAAAATCCCAAATTCCAGGCCGCATGCTGTGCCAGAATGTTCTGGCTTATGTGTTCTCGGAACTCTCGACTAATGATTTGCAGAGTTATCTGACCATACTCAAAAAATGTTGCTGGGCCTCTTTATGCAGCCAGCAGGTACGGAAATTCCCGAGGCCAAAATGAACGCACGTACCACTTATGGCTAAAACAAAAGGGAGTCAATAGTCTCGTTTCTTGGGTTAGTTAAAATTGCATGCTGGTTTGTGGACATCCTTGATGAAGACAAGGACGCAGCAAGGCTCAAACATAAAACACTTATGTGCCCCTCTTCATCAAATGCATCCAAAAAATCCAAATCCAAAAAAAAGTACATAATAATAATAAGCATGAAAATTGTGTTGCGACGCAGGACAGGAGACTGCACCCCCTTGGTGGTTGCCAAGCGAGCTGCTGCAGATGCAGGCATGGTGCCTGTCGGACATTCATGAGGGCGGCCCCCTGGTCTCAGGCGCCCCTCGTTCAGCAGCCAGGCAGCCTGCCTGAGACCAGCACAGACCCATTCGAGCTGTCCTAAGCAGGACCTGGCCGACATCTACGATGCCATTAAAAAGGTACACAACCACTCTACGACTGGTCATGCCTCATTAGACAAACGGCATTAGAGACAGAACAAAAAGAAGCTGCCATCATAACTTTCAGTACTGTGTGTTATTACAATCCAATGAAGCTAGGTAAGATATAGGGGCCTCATTATGGCATAAATGAAAAGCAATGAAAGTGGACAAAGGAATAAAAACTTGATACTTGCCACTGGCACAGGACCGAACGTGGAACTTTCCGTTTAAAGTGTCCTACGCTCTACCATTACGGCGGCAGTCCTTCCCCGTAATGCCCCGTAACTACAGCGGCAGTCATTCCTCATTCTACTTTATCGAGCATTTCTGTGAGTGTAATTGCTACAAGTTGTTGTAACGATCATTTTGTCACTGCCTCCATCTCTTTGGCATTCCTTGAAGAAGCACATGAGAGCAGAACGAAACACCATTTGCTCCCCTTTCAATATGCCAAGACTTTCTGCAATGTACCCTTTTTGCAGGAAAGTGCTTGATGTCATTGTTGCCATGAGTAGTCGGGGCAAACGCGCTCACTCCATGCAGCTGGCAGTGTTAGTTTCCTTTGAGAAATTAAGAAATACTAAATTTAATAACATCCGATGCTTTGACATGCACTAAGTATATCTCGTGCCATTACGCAATAACAAACTCGTTCAGAGTAGTCAGTGCAAATAAAACTATAGAGACGACATACACCTGGGTATGGCCTCTCGTTTTGTTAACACTGGCCGCCATGAGTATATTCTATTTTGCCCTATTACTAAAATAACTGAATACTTGAAAACTATTCTGAGTCTTATTTTTTCTTGATGCAGGAGCTGTGGGTGTCGAAGCCTCAGCTCAATGAAATTGCCAGCTACTACTTTGATGGCCAAGGCAAAGCATTTCGCCCCATGATCTGCACCTTGATGGCCAGGGCTGTCAATATTCACGTGCACAATAGAAATGTGTAAGTAAACTGTGCCAAGCAATTGAGTGTTTCAGGTCAAGTCACAGTTTGTCATGTGCGCAGGCTTCTAGATTTCCAAAAGAAAGTGGCATTATTGTGCGAAATGATCCACACCGCCAGTCTTGTCCATGACGATGTCATCGACACCTCAGACACAAGACGAGGAAAGCCCAGTGTCAATGTGTTATGGGGACAGAAAAAGGCAAGGACAAATTCATCACTTTGCATAGTGCTGTTATCAGCCCTTTTGTTTGCATGTAAGAGCAATGAACACAAACAGAACTCGCATGTCTTCGTGGATAAGCACTTTATGACACAGAAAATATGTTTTTGTAGGCGATTCTAGCGGGCGACTTTGTGCTCTCCCGAACGGCGCAGCTGCTTGCCAAGATTGGGAGCAATGATGTCAACAGTTTCCTGTCTCAGGCAAGTATTTTTACCCATTATCCGACAACAAATATTTTACAATTGTGCGTGTACAAGAAACAAGTGCTGCAAGCCTTGTAAACATGCTTCTTTTTTTTTTTCCCGAGTGATCCCCTTCTTACTTCTTCCAATGCCTGCAAAGATTACAGGTGTAAAAGAATCAGTACAGGCAGCGATCGGGTTCTCCCAAATCTTTAAGGGATGGGTGTACAGAGGCAAACAGCTGCATAAAATCCTCCATTTGGTTGTCCTGGCAGGTTCTTGTGGACTTAGTTCAAGGAGAGTTCATGCAGCTGGGTTCCAAAGAGGATGAGGGAGAAAGATTCTCTCATTACATACAAAAGACATTTAAGAAGACTGCCAGCCTTATTGCCTTTGCCTGCAAATCTGTGAGTACTCATTTCTGCATCGTTCATAGAATCGTGGTTAACACTCGTCATGGGACACTAAGAAATTGTTTCATGTTGCATCAAGTCTTTTTGGGACATTGCATAAGTTTGGGTGAGACACAAAACATCACAAGAGGAGTACCATTATATTATTGACCACATTTGTAGTACCTTTTGCAATGAAGCAAGGTTCATTTTTCCAATCCAAACACATACTAGTTCAATTATAACATTCCCATATGTCCAGCCTTTCATGGAGAGATAATGTTTGATGCCCTAGGTATCCATACTTGGAGGTGGAGATGACGAAATACAGGAAGCAGCCTACCAGTACGGCAGGAATGTTGGCATTGCATTTCAGGTGAGCTGCTGTCAGTCACACTTAAATGTGCAAATTCACTGACGTCTTGTGCATTGACTTTCAGTTGGTTGACGACCTCCTAGACTTTGTCTCCAGTCAATCTGACCTTGGAAAGCCTGCTGCTGCTGACCTCAGGCTAGGTCTTGCCACCGCACCCGTCCTGTTTGCGTGCGACAAGGTATGCTGCCGCTTTCTGCCACAGCTCTTTGATTACTCCAGCAGCGAAACTGCATACAAAAATCTAGATGTGCCCGTCGACAATACAAAACTGACACACCAACGTTGCAGTCACTGTGAACTTACTGCAGCAAGAATTACAGGAAGTACTTTTGAGAAAGGTAGAGTTGCTTACGGGTTGGGCTGTCACAACACCATGCGAAAAAAAATAAATAAAAAATCCATTTATTAGATTGTTTTTCTAAGTACAGGGAGTGCTACGATCGGCAAGTCTATACATGGAGTTTCTCTGTGCTTATGATTAAAGCACTCTGGCTTGTTTTTTGTTTGCAGTACCCAGAGCTGAATGCTATGATAATGCGGCGCTTCTCTGAGCCCGGAGATGTGGAGAGGGCTTATGAGGCTGTTCTAAAGGTAAGCGGGCACACTCTCGGTTATCCCGGTACTAACGCTATACGTCTTCTCTTCCCAGAGTGACGGCCTACAGCATACACGGCTGCTGGCGCAGAAGCACTGCAGCGAAGCTGTGCGGCACCTGACGCCATGGGTCGAATCGCCAGAGAAGCAGGCACTCATCAGCATCACCGAGAAAGTCTTGAACCGCAAGAAGTGACCATGTACATACAAACGGAGCCTACCGGTAGCCTTGGACAAGAGCAGTTTCACAAATTTTATCAGACAATCATGGAGAAATGCGACAGTGATTTCCACGGATGTGATGGCGTGCTTGAAAAGAAAAAAAAAAAAGATGGTGCGAATGAACTGCGCATATACAACGTAAGCTTATATAATGTCACCTTTTGTTTGCATGACCTAATCCTTATCCCAGGAAAGAGATAGCATAGTTGTATAAAGACATGTACATAAAAGTAATGAGCTTGGGTGTGAGATGAAAAAACAAAACTGCAACTAAGAAAGTATAATTGCAATGACAAATTACTATTGTATGGAAAAACTTCACCAATCTGTTACACATAATCTTGTGCATTATTTATCTTATGTTGGTTGAATGTCCTTGCAGAGTATACATACTAATTTAATAATGATGTTAAAAAGTAACCTGTACATATGAGTATGACATTTTGGGAAAACTATAGTTGGGCATATTAAAGCCTACTGCAGCAGTTGAAGATCGGGGGTAAAGAGGATTGTTACAGAATTGTTATGCATTCGTTTTTAATAGAACACTAACGCAACAAATAAACACTAACAATGTCATCAGACTCTGTTTTCCTTTGGCAAGTTGACTCTCATTACACAACTCTTGAAAAATCCTTTTACATTTTTCACCGCAACCCCTTTCTGTCAACAGAACCTATGAATGGCTTGCATCTAGCGCTTGCAGCCTGTACTGTACAAGGCACTCCACTTGGGCTGTGCCGATCATAAAATCTCCTTTTAATTAAAAACCTAAAAAGCGGTTCCCTGGCAAAATCTATTCGTCCCAACTTGAATGCACGCTCGCATCTTGCATCTTTGAAAAATTTCTTTCGGACAAAACCCCCCCCCTTTTTTTTTTGCTGGATGGTGTCTAATAGAAAAATGCAAGCCAAGCAGAAAAAAAAAGGACAAGGTGCACATCTTATAACATGGCTGAACCGTGCATCAATGATTTAGTTTGCGCTTAATTCAGATACCTAAAAAGGCTACACCTACACAGCCCTGTAATGTGGCAAAAAGGAATAATCTGAAAGTATTTTACCAGAACAGGAGTCACTACGCCTCTCATTGCAACATGAGAATACATAAGTGATATGTTTCAACTACAGGGTTTCTATGAAAACATATGTATACTTCTGAACATGCAGAAATGCCAAGAAATGTGCACAGTGATTAAAAAAAAAAGGCTGGATGCTGTTTTCACACCACCTTGTGTATCTTGCATCTTTTCCCTCTTTCAATTATATATGATTCATTAGTAATAAACCTTTTGCAATAAACACCATAAACCTCATATGTAGTAAACACATAGACTCAAACCTTATGGCAGTGTCCATCGCGAGTAGCAATGGTAACCACACAAAGCCAATAATCCTATGGCAAAAAAAAAAAAGATAGGTCTGCTTGCTTGGTGATGAGGTGATCGACAAACGAGAGTGGGTGGCTACTCGTTCACAATTCGTAAATCTCTTGAATGTTTATGCGTAACATGTATATCTGTGCGCTGCTTTGAAATATTCAAATATTTCTGATGCACAATGTACATAAGCTGTATGCCTTATTCTGGGCAAATTTTACCTAAATTGAGACAAATATGAAACACATCAGCATATTGCAAACAATTTGGCAGCATAAACTGTATGCAATAAATTAATGAATGTTTAGCACCCATTTCAACAACAGCTATGGCATGTAAATTTTTGTGAATGAAATCCCAAACCGACATGGGCTCCTTGGTAAATCTCGTACACAACTTTAGGTTGGCTAGATTCGAAACAGCTGCCTGCTTTATTGCACCAACTTCTCGTTCCATATTATTTTAGCATGCCGATTTACTAGACTTTCTCAAGCTTAAGAAATAGTTGTTCCCGAAATGGCATATGGAATGTTTGACATTTTAAAAACTACATATTATTGCATACCTTGACTGGCACTCTCCATTTATTCAGATTTCTTCGAAATGAATCAATTTTTTAAAAAAATATACATTCGATGTTTCCCATAAATCTCGTGTCATCACTTAGGCCCCTAGCTTTCCACGATTCTGCGAAAAATCACGGAATTGACGTGTTTCTGCGGAAATATGAAAAACGGACAATCCCGTGAAAAATCGCAGAATTGCGTTTTTTTTTCTTCGCGGGAATGCGAAAAGTCGTTTGTTTGCAATGCCAGCTAACAGGTTTTCGGGCGCGCAATAAAGAATTGACATCGCTGTAGCGTGTGTAATAACTTGTTTTTGGTATAAGCTTTGATTATAAAATAGGCGAGGCACTTCTTTGAGAACAGATATGACTGGCATAGCGCGAAACGGGGCTGTGTGACGAACTTGCAACCATGCTCGCAACCACCCTCCTTGCTTGCAACGCGCTGTCGCGAAGGCGGTTCCGGTTTTGTACTCAATGGAAACGCGGAGGCAATCTCTTTACTCTTTTTTTTTCCACAAAAGAAAAAAAGTTCTTGTTAAATGTCGGCGAATCAATGCGCTCGTATACTATATTAGTTAATAGAAAAATTATTCATGTTGCTTTGTCTTTTAGTAGTAGGAAAAATTTAAGCCGCCACTGATAACAAGACTTAACAGTAACAAGCCTTAACGTAAGTAGCCGTAGTCGGCTATCGATCCAACGTACTCTCTTTTGCGACTGCACGTATGCCGTGTGCCTTGTTCTCGTTTGCTTTGGTCGTTCTAGCCACTCTAGCTTTGGTTGAAGATCGATGCGTGAATAGACATGGCGCCTTAAGGGTCACATTTAAGTAAAAAGACTGCCAGGGAACGCGCTCGAGAATACAAGTACAAGCACGCCGAGTTTTACGAAGATGGAGGTGTGCTTTTTGCCGGGCTTGCGCAATAGAAGTTAACCATCGCTTACATGGTGAAGTCCTTTAAGGAGTGCATAAAGCCACTTTGTGAAGGTGCTGTTCACATTACGTGTGTAGCCCATACAGTGAATATTGTTGGCAGCACACTGCAGGCATCTTTTTCCTTAGTGAACAAGTTTGTCGCTTGTATGAAGAAGGCCTTCCGCCTGTCGAGTAGAAAGAGAGCTTTCTACAAATCGCATCTGGAAGAGTGCGGAGTTCAGTGTGCCAAAGCACCGCCAGCACCTGTCCAAAGCAGGTGGAATTCATGGATTGAGGCTGTGGAACAACATTCTGCCTACTTCGAGCACTATCCTTCATTGCTTCAGCAAGTCCACCAGAAGTATGGTGAAGCAGCGTGTGTTGATTCTCTTATCTCAGTAGAGTGAAGGCTCAGTAGAGTGAAGACTCTACTGAGCTCAGGTACAGCATGCGGTGCATTGCGGTATTTGGGAAAAAAGTTTCCAGCTTGCTGAAAGCAGTAGAAGGTCAGCGCGTAGCCTGCCACAAAGCGTACAATGCATTGTTTATGCTTTGGGGGTACCTTAAAGCAGCTTCAAAGGAGGATTTTGCAACACAGCTGAAGAGAGAAAATGTTGCACATAATGAGGCCAATCAAATTGAAAGCAAGATGAAGGCTGCAATGACCAAAGCGGCTAACAAAGCACAGGTATACTTGGATAAGTCCAATACATGGCAATTCTTCAAGGATGTTAGGTTAGGTGCTTGGATCCTCTGCAAGTTTGGTGTCCACAGAAGAGGACAGAGTTGACAGGCGTGCCTCAGCTTGCAGAAGAATCACTTGCTCTAGCTGCCGAATGGCAGATTTACCTGAAGACTGCACAAAAACTGAAGACCAGTGACAGGGACCTGGCTCCATTTGTGTCCAAGCAACAAAATTCAGGAGCAGACTTCGATATTCTGGCTTTCTGGGCAGGGATGGAGCAGCTTAGTCCAATCCTTTTATCAATCGCCTTGAAATACTTGGCGATACCAATCAACTCTGTTGATGCAGGAAGATCATTTAGTCGCTATGGTGACATTGTCTCCCACAAGCGTCACTCTCTAAGTGAAGAGAGCACCAAGCACCAACTGATGCTGTGCCACAACAGCTTTCTCCAATTTTAATTATTGCAGGCATGTTGAGAGCCTGAAAGTGTGAATAATAAGTTGTTACGTGTGCCTTCTTGCATTTGTTCATTATTGCCACAGAATTTTGCATGTTTAGAGTTGCCGTGGAATTTCGTAGACTTCTCTATCTGGAATCGCAGAATTCCAAATTTTCCACCGCATAAAGTTAGGGGCCCTAGTCATCACTGACAGCTTCAGCATCTAGGCATGTCATTCATAAATCTCGTTCATTTTTTGTGAGCTCAAACAGGGCATCACGTAGACCATGGGTCACAAGTTAGTGTCATAACCACTAGTGACATTATTAGTTTTCTTGCCTACCGCACTGATACTACTGCCAAGAATGTTAAGTCCAAGCAGTATGTTTGTTTGTGACAGCAGTTGGCTCCACGGAAAATACCAAAAAGTGTATTTATTGCTCGCATGAAATTACTTCAGTATAGATTCCCAATGAGGTCAAAACAAAGAAAATGCCGAGAACCACATGGCTTTAAGAAAAAACAACAAGAAACAATACCACAGCAAGATTCGCTTGTGTGAAACTTGTCACATGCCAGCATGCTTTGCGTGTACAACACGATTAGACGTCCTAAAAAACAAGCTCTCCAAAACTTCACTACTTCACACTAAAACAACAAAAACAAGTTTATTGAATGGGGCAGAGACACATCCTCTGCAAACAGTGTGCACTATCAGGTCACCTAATGAACAATCCTCTGGCCTGGACTAAAAATTCACAATATATACAATACATTGGTTTCATCATTGCGTTGTGCCACCTATTGAGAGAATGACTTATTGCTGTAGCAGGAGACTGTTTACCTTTTACGAATTGGCTCTTTCCCACTGAGCAGCTGCTTGACATCATCTGCATCGAGCGTCTCGTATTTGAGCAGCGCCTCGGCCAGCAGCTTGTGCTCTTTCTGGTGAGTTTTCAGGATTGCCTTAGCCCTCTCGTACGACTCCTGCCACAGAGCAAGAAGGTAGGTGCAGTTGTAATTTTGTTCTCGTGACATTTATTAAGGGCCTCAGTCATACAGGAAAGGTTACCAGCACAAATGTTAACAGCAATTCGAATGCAAGAAATCAAATGTCCGAGCATGGAAAAGTAGTTTAGGATGGTCTATGGGTAACTCAAAGTAATTAATTAAAATACCAGAGGTTAATGAACGAGAAAAAATGAAACGGAAGATTTTGAGAACACTCGGTAAAATAAGTGGCTCAGGCTTGCATTCAAGCTGTCTTAGGCATGCATTAATGAGGGAAAAAAACTGACTTACATGCAGAAGTCTCTTTATCTCTGCATCAATAACTTCTGAAGTGTTTGGTGCCAGTTCATTCACAACTATCAGCGAACTGTGATCTTCATCGAACGTTCTCACACCAACCTGGGACAAGGAAACAAAGAAAACAACGCCACTGCGATAGGAAATGAAAGCAGGAACTGCACCTGTGATCTGCACAAATGAATTTTTGATAAGCCATAAGCTGACAGATTTCCCTTAATGGCACCAGTATCTCGAGTAACTCGCGAGAATTATTCTGGCACAGCACCGTCTGAAAGTGAATAATATGACACACTTATCTATCGGCTGGCAAGAAACCCGTTACATAAATCACACAAACATTTTGAAGTCAAGCCAATTGTCTTCTTGTTTTTTAAAATTGGGCACTCAAGAAAGCAGTCGCCTATCGGAGCACTTTCATACAACCAGTTTTGGCAAGCTGGCGACTATTCCCAACTTTCAGCTACGGTGGCGCCGCCACATGGCAACCGGTGCAAACCGTGATGCGGTGATAAAACGAAAACTTGCCAGCCGTGCCTTGTCAGTCGTTGTGTCCCACAACATCTTGCGTGTGCGGGGACTGAAGTGCGATGAATTTTGCTCGTGCAAGGTTGCAGAACCTTCTAGCTGTAATATTGCGCGAATAATACAAGATAAACTGCTTGGCTAAAAGGCTCAAACTGCAGGCGTCACTAGCGTGCTTGGTTTTCTTTTCGGCTGACGACGGAAAAAAGGAATAGATTTTCAAGCTATACATCATGAAACTTGTCAACATATTGTGGTTACAAGCTAGCACTTGAAGTGGGATGACTTCTGGGACCTAACAGAATTGTTGGGATTTTATTCACCAAAACCACGACATGATGGGACACGCTATAGCAGGGACCTCAGATTCATTTTCACCACTAGGGGTTCCTTAAAGTGCTCTCAAATCTAAGCCCACGATTGTTCTTTTCCATTCAGCCCTTTTGAAATACCGCTGCCACGGCTGAGCCCACCGAACTCAGCAGCACAGCACTTCATGGTGTCAAATACACTCTCCACGGTACTCTAATGCACTCTGCTGCAGACCCGCAAGTGGCAGGACCAAATCACTGCCACGGCGGCCGCATTTTCGATGGAGGCGAAAATTCTTGAGGCCTGTGTTATGTGCTTAGATTTCAGTGCATGTTAAAGAATCCCCGGTGGTAGAAATTTTCGGATCCCTCCACTACAGCGTCTCTTATAATAATATGTTGGTTTTGCGACGTTCAACCCGAAGAATTATTATTATCAATCCTGAGACAAGCATTTGAATGCTCGTGATTTTTGTTGGGTCAACAATAACACGGTTAATACAACTATGCTTGCGCGAGCGAAGAACACAGCTTGCCGCAACTGACACATGCGAGCAGCGGCTGGGCAGACACTGCCGCCGTCCCCAATTGAGCGCAAGCCTGTCTAGGGCGCTGAAATTTCAGCAACGATATATATATATATATATATAACAATATGTATATTTCTAGTCTTCTGCCTGCATCGAGACACGCAAGCAGTCGTCTTCACAGCAGTCGCTGAATATTGAAGCAAACTGAGCCGGTTCAGCGAGATGGCCTGCAATGTAGCATGTTTACCTGCGAAATGCCCAAGCATCGTGATTTCCGATCTCAGTCGTAGCTTGTAAGAAGGCGCTGTTTTGAATAAGTGACATACCGAAGCACAAGTTTATTGGGTTAAGCATTAGTTTGTGTAATTAAACAATAGTAACCCATCTTCGCTGGCATGATACCGGCACCCACGGTCAAAATGATCGGAGCGGTAAAGGAACGACCCAAGCGGCTCTATGTCAACTGTCTCTCGTGTTGTTTACTGTTGTCAATATACGGCCGTGCGATCGCGGGACTGAGTGAATGAGAAACATCTGCCGAGTTTGATGCACACTGGATGCCTGATCCGGCCATGCAGTGTGACGGAACGTTACCGAACTGGCTGCTACACGAGCGCGTCGGACGTCGAACCCGGTGAAAGATCATACCGCGTGTCCCACACTCTATGCACTCTAAATGAGCTGCTTCCGTCGAAAGAATTTAAATCCTACGGAAAATCATCCTAGGCAAAAGCGGCGGCAACCACGCAGAGGGAAAACCTGTGAGGAAGGCTCCGCATCATAGCATCAACAGCCATTTTGGTTTTCTTGCGACGCCCCCTACATACCTGCCAAGGTCAAGGATTCTGAATCCGGGAGATTTCTGCAACAAGGGAGGGGTTGGGGGTAAATAAATTACTTGCCCCTATTTGTTTTTTTTTGGCACCAAAAAAAAACAGCGAAAAACAAAAGGGGGTGGAGTGCAGGATCTCAATTGCAAGCCCCAACATCAGCGTTGCGGTCTTATAGTGGCTTGGAGAGGCCGAACACACGAGGGTAAGGTTTCGCACTAAGGCGAGTCTCACACCCTGCCACTGTGGTCTAGTGGCTAAGGTACTTGGCTGCTGACTCGCAGGTTGCGAGATCGAATCCCAGCTGCGGCGGCTGCATTTTCGATTAAGGCAAAAATGCTGTAGGCCCATGTCCTCAGATTTGGGCGCACGTTAAGGAACCCCAGGTGGTCTAAATTTCCAGAGCCCTCCACTACGGCGTTTCTCATAATCATGTGGTGGTTTTGGGGCATTAAACCCCACATGTCAATGAAGGCGAGTCTCAAAGTATCAACACAACAAGCAGAATCTATTTCCGTCAAAACTAACGTATGTCTTCCAGGGGACGCGCGTGAACAGACGGGACGGCGCAGCTGGCTGCCGCAAAAGCGTTGCTCATTACTAGATTCTTTTGACAGAAACACCAAAATGCATCTGGCCCCTTGTTATTGCGATAGCAATTATATGAACGGTCTAGGCTGTTTATTTTTTGTCGCCACCATCATTCACAGAATATATATATATATGAACACAAAGAAAAAAAGCCACCTGCGATGGGTGCCCAGCTCGCGCACTTATCTCTCACGCGTACTTTGGCCCACAGATATAAGGAGGGGGGAAGGAAGGGGATGGTTAGATGCTTGTGCGAGCGCACTTACTTTTTGGTGGGGAGAATCGTGTGCCTTCCGCTTTCACTGGAACGATTACGTTAGTTGCCGGGCCCACCAAGGTCACTTTCACCTCGGTTTCTGCCAGCCCCGTTTGCGGAAACAGCGCGCTTTGCGAGGTATAACAGGGACACTTGTTAGTTTGTACTCATCTGTACCTGTGATTACTCTCGTGCATAGTTTTTGTTTAAACAGCTAGTTACGTGTCGAGCGGTAAACATTGTTAGTTCGCTCTCGTACATTCTGTGTGTATCGTTTTCTTGTGTCACTTGTGCGTGAGCAGAACGCTGCATATTACGATCTGCTTGCCGTTCTCTCCGTGACATTCCAAGTTGTTGCTGTCGCATTCAATGTTTCGCCCTTACGGCGAAACTGTGACTTTTTTTTATGTATTTACTGCCTTTAATCTACCGCTGCGTGCCCTCGGAGCATAGATCGCTACCGCGTTTCCGCGACTGCCGTTTTGTGCATGGTGGTTGCAGCAAACGGTAGTTCTTTTTACAATCGCGCTTTGCCATCACACCTGCCGCAGTTTTGTCTTCAGAGTTTGCGGAAAGCAGCATTGCTTTGACTGGTTGAGTTTCTCAGTAACATCGTCGCCATACATGATCATACCAACAGCAACCGCGGTTTCGTCCACAGCGGTTGTGGCAACAACAATCACATGCACGGTAGAAGACAGTGCGTGCGATGGTCGCACGCATACTTTTAAAGCTTAGAGTACGCTGCTCTCGGCCTTAGTTCGACAGTTTCCGCACTTAAGTTCATACCACTCACCACGATTAGGAAATGTGTTCGGAACATTCGAATTTAAGCCCAATGGACATGGTGGAATTAGGCTGGGAAATTTCACGAATTCGTATCTGCTGCGGTTTCGCATCACTAAGATTCTACTGTACGTTTAGGTGAACGCCTCCTAAATTCGTTTATAATAACATGTGGTGGGTACGCAAAAAGCTCTGAGCGGACTCATCTGCATTTTCGCCAATGCGGCCGAATCACGCACAAACATTTCTATTTCTGGGAGATTTTCATGGCAACCATCCAAACGAAAGAAACAGTAGACGTCTGGGAGTCTCCCGGCCAATCCGGGAGACTTGGCAGGTATGCCCCTATGGACACTGAAAGTTGCGAATTCATACTGAAACGAAACAAGGACGAGTCAGTCCTGTGTTATTGTGCCATCCTTGTTAATGTCGATAATTGCCCAGCAAAACAGTTCATTAAGCTACGTTTCATACATTCAAGACCTTCAGAAGGGTTCCTTGTAGTGTGCATCAAAGTCGGGCAAAATGTAGGCGCACAGGGTGCTAACTTCCAACGATGGTTTACTTCTGAGAATCAGGGTACACTTATCCACTGTTACTCTCTTTCGACATATAAAGACATTGTTTTAATGGTTTTGTCACCAATATCTGCAAGCCAGCGCACTGCAGAGGACATTAAAAGTTCACTGGGATCAAAAACAGCACTCTGCATCAGTTAGAACAGCAGACAACGCCGTCGAAGTCCCTGCACAACGATTCACTTGTTGTTTACATGTGCCACGTGTGACTAACAGCAGGTGGCACAGTTGCTGCTAGTACATTACGAGCTGCTGTCTTGTGATGCCAGATTATGGTCACATGCCATGGCAAAAGCACTCCTGAACATTGAAACCGGAATAGTTAGTTTTTACGATGTAGCGAGGATATAGTCAATGCATTCACAAGTAGCACAATGGTCTTTTCATGGTCCTGAACACCAGCGTTTTCATTTAGGACCACACGAAGATATTTCTAATTCTCGTCAGTACCCCAGTTTGAAAAATGGTGTTTTGTTTATGAGGAGTATATTCACTCTCTGGTGACTTACATTACCGTATTTACTCGATTCTACAGCGCCTTCGATTGCAATGCGCACCCATTTTTCTCGCTGGCCCGCACGATCACACCACTAAAACAAAACGACTCCTTTCGGGAGAGTCTTCCATTTAAATATGAGGTGCGGGGGAAGCTTGTGCTAATCTGACATGTAACAGAGCATTGCCGTCACTTTAGTTTTACCGTGGACCGATGTCAGCACGCGAACTTGCTTCGCCCCCTTCTTCTCGACGGTTGCGGTGCGGGGCATGTCGAAGTAAAGAGGCGTCTGATCAGCATTCCCGATTTGCCCAAGCAATTAGCCGTTGTTGTGCCGCAAGTTTAGGACGAACCTCTGAAAACTGTGAAGCTTTTCATTGTACTCCTCCGCAAAACGTTTCACATATGCCCGTTCACCTTCGGAGAGAAAAACTTTTCCTCTTTATAAAGTTAGTTAGCCAGCACCTACTCGCTTTAAACTAGCTACGCATTAGACCTTTTTCTAAGGCTAATTGCATAGCCTACACTTGGAGCACCGTTCTGTCGTCACGGACCGCTGTGCCGCTCGCTGCTCAAGCACATACTCACCGAGCAGCCTCTTCAATTTGCGGAAACCGACCCTACTGTGGTCCACTGAAGCCTTTGTGTGAAGCTTTGCTGTCGACAATCTTCTGCTTTTGTTTCCGCCGGTGCCGCACGCGCGCTTCGGAAACTCCGAACGACCGCGATGCGGCCCGATTTCCGTCCGTTTCTGCACACGCGATGACTTTTCTTTTAAAAGCGGCATCGTGGTGCACTCGAGTTTTTGGAGTCGGCCCTTCCATGCCGTCGATGCTAATGCACTACAAGATGACGAACTCCTCAGCACACGTACGATGTGCCGCACATGGGAAACACATAGGCAGAAATGGCCGACGCATCATGCCGACGCATGTAGGGGGCGGCCATTTTGTAAATGCCGATGGCAATAGAATGACCGTATTAATTTTTTTTTTTTTTCGTACTCGATTCTAACGCGCATGCGAATTATGAACTCGCTTAACTGGAAAAAAGTGTGCATTATATTCGAGTAATTACGGTATATGCAGTCAATAATGTAGCAGAAAGGTGTTACAACCAGCACTGCATAAGCGTGTATGTTTCCTTAATCTACCCGTGCTCACAGTCACTGTACCAGGGGTGTCCACAAGAGGATGGGCGCATGCTACTGTGTTTTGACCACATGAGATTAGCTTCGTTTTTAAATATGAAAAACAGAACATTTAGTGCTGCTCTGGCTCAGTATAGTGAAAATAAGTTGAAATCCTTTATAAGAGACACCGATGTAAGAGACAAATGGGTGTAAGACACACCAGAATGCGTACACCAAAATACGAGTTGATGAGAAAATGCATACAAGGTACCCTGCTTATAAGAGACTTCTCATATAAAAGACTGGAATTGCTGCCCGCAGGATGCCTCTTATAAAGGGGTTTAATCGTATTGCAGGATGTAGCAGGATAGGTTTTCTTTTTTAGAAGTTTGGTGCAATTAGTGCAGGTAATCCGATCACTGCAGTCATCTTTCTCTTTTTCATTGACCTCTCCTTTAATGTCAACCTGCCAGGATCACTGGCACCAAGAAGGTGGAATTAACGTACCACATACATATCAAAATGCTGTCCCAATCTCAGTTAACTTAGTTACACAGATGAAGATGAAACAAAGTACCTTCTCAGACATGCCCCACTCCTTGACCATGTTGGTGGCGAAGTGCCGTTGCCTGCTTCAGGTCACTCGAAGCACCTGGCAAAATATTTCAAAGAAAATGCATACACTTACGGGCAGTTGCTGAAAAGGACAATGCTTCAGTGAACTCCATCATTTACTTGTGTTCCTAGTAAGTGGTAGTCACATCAACTAGCTATCCATAAAAAAAACTAAACATCTGAGCATTAATTAGTCATTTCTCTAAAAGTCACTGGTATCATAGCTCCCTGAACTGTTTTAACATCCCAAAAACCATCAGGCAACAAAGACAAACATGCAACACTTCCACAACAAGATTCGAGGCAGAAGCGAGCACAAATATTGGCCCCCAGCTAGCAGCTTGAAATGCAGCATGGGAAGGAAACAGCAGCAACCACATAGCTTTGTCTGCATCATTGGTGTGCTAATCCCAGTATTCATCACAAAATTATCACCAAAAGTGAAAGGTGCAGCCTGCTGCTAGCTTGCTTCAAATACAGTTGAAACTGTGCGATGACATAACCAAGAAAGTAACTGGAGTGCCTCACCTCCATGCATTAAATAAGAAGACACCTACCGTCGACTAAGGTGCTACAACGTAGGAAGTGATCGCGAAGTAATTTATAGTAACTCATAGAAGTAATAAAAATTATGTTAAAAAATGTACAGATGCTTAAAATAGCGCAGTAGCTTTCACTGCCAAGTCATCTTAGCCAAGCAGCACTAACAAAACAACCTAAGCAAGCTTCCATTGCAAGTGCAGCATTACCACAGTGAAATAAAGAGCTGGCGAATAGATTCTATAGAGTGAAGTTTACAGTCAAAAAGTGTAGTTCTCAGTTGGCGTAGTGTAGATACAAATGTCTCTGCTCATGACAGGGAACATGAATGCAGACAAAAAGTGGGCACACACGTTCCCATCTATCGCAGCAGCATGTGGCAAGTGCTGCAAGAGCAGTACCTGAAGTGATCTTCTCCGAGCCAAACACCAACTCTTCAGCCTGCCCTGCCTCCCATGAGCGTGTCCATAGTAGCCAACATCTGGGCCTTGGTGACGTGGTAGTGCTCCTTCTCGGGAATGTATGCAGTCTGCACAGGAAAAGAAAGGCACAAAGGGTGTTCAAATTGAGAGGTACAAAACGACGCTGTGGCCATAAACGAAGACTTTATTATTTGAAGTATACACTATGCACCTGACCACAATGAACTCGGCGATGTGAGAACTGAAGGACTCCTTGTTCCCATAATTCCTGTCGCTGCAAAGAGAACCAGTCCTTCACAGCATCCTTCAGTTTGCAACCAAAGTTTGAAAAGCTTCCCTTTTAGATGTTTTTTCAGCAGACCAGGCACATGGAAATTGAAGGCGATAAATAGGGTCTGGTTTAACGTTTTTCAGTGTCAAAATCGGATAACGCATAGCTACTTTTTGAAAACACGCTCACACTTCTTCCCACTGGAGCTCTCCGATTTTGTGCTTCTGAGTAGCAGAAGGCTACCAGAGCCAGCCAGTGAGCATTCCTTTTATTTTCAAATTACACTGAGCACTTCCAGTCAGCATTAGTTCTTCTAGAGCTGGACGGCTCTGGCCACCTGGCATGGGCCCATGAATAGCCAGAAGCTTCCAGGACAATTTTGTAGAGGAAGGTCTTGGCAGGTTTCAGGCTAGCAGATGCCCCCACTCATAAAAAAAAAAAAAAAGACAATGCGCACTCTCCCCCATCTTTTTGAGGACTTGGCAGATTGCAATGCAGGCTATTGAGGACAACACTTAGGGTTGTCATTATGCTTGGCGTTATCTTCGAAAGACCATTACGCCGTGTGATATGGCGTGATCATGAGTGGCAGCGAACATTTAAAGCTGATATTTGTTGGCTTTTTTTATTTTATGTTTCATGAACAGCATGGCAGACTGTTGCCTGCTGACTGCATCGTGCAAACATCTCAAAAGTTATGTACAAGTTCGTACACACACGTGAAGGCCTTCTTCAAGTTCATTTTTCTGTAGTAGTATTCTTTTATTGTGTGTTGTCTGTTGTTTGTGCAGTCAGCCACGACAGACTGTGGCCAAGCTAGCTGCTTCCCTCCTTTGTAGGTCTGCGTGCGTGAGCCCCTTGAGAACTTACCTACTTCCACTAAATCTTCGATGTCAACAAAATGCACCTATTAAATGGTATAACTGTCGTTAAAGCACATGAATTAGCAGAAAGTAAGAGAGGACAAGCCCTTTCTCGCAACTAAACGATTTATTATAAAGGGAAGAATATATAAGCAGGCAATCAAAACAACGCATAAACAAAACAACACCAAGACGGTGGCAGCAGTTGAGAAAAAGCAAGCATGCAAAGTTGGGGTACTATTTCCAGCGCTTGCTTGCTGCTCACCAGATGTTGAAACATCTGTTTTATATGAGGTACCTTTGCATTGAAACAGATGCTGATATTAACAAACAACGCTTTGAGGGATAAACAAATCCGTTAATGGGAGTTGGGACCATCTCCCGCTAAAAGGGAAGCACGTGTATATGCGAAGCAGCGGCACTAACGCTTACACTGGCGGCGACGGCGACGCTGGCGCTCATCAAGCAAAAGCTAAGTAAAGACGCCCTTGACCGAATTACGAACGCGCGATCCAGTGCCTACACATACGAGGTGACCAGTGAACGGTTGTACAGAGCGAGCAATCAATTTTTTACTACTAGTAGACAGCCTTGGGAGGCAAGAGAGGGGAGGGGTAGGACGGTTTTGCGGGTGTCACATGTGACGAGCAGCAACGGACTAAAGTGACGTCAACGCGCCCGCACTGGGAGGGAAGGCGCGACCTACTTGGCACCGCCCCAACACCTGCAACCAGGAAAGCGCGGTGCGGACGGAGGGACAGCATTACACAGGCTAGTCGAAGAGCTGCTTCGCATCTAAAAAAGTAGGTTACAGCACACATTGACCGAATGTGTGGCTTTGGGACAATCAACTTTTTGACCATTTTTGGGCTTTCAAAGTCCTTTCAAAACACTCACGTGTCCCAGAGATGGGCCCCTCGGGATGATGGTAACCTTGTGCAGTGGATGGGCCTCCTTGGAATAGTGTGCCACCAAGGCGTGGCCACCCTCATGGTAAGCTGTGATCAGGTTGGCCTCCTCATCAGGGATGCGTGACTTACGCTCCGGACCTGTCCCGTTTGTAAAAAGTCACTTCTAGCTATTGCAAAAGAAAAATTTGACACTAAACAGGCTACAGCACTTGAAGCGCTACGACACTTTTCAAAAATATGTCAAGAAACACCACATAAAATTTGGCAGATCCCATGTACCATGGGAATCAATGTTATGCGAAGCATGCGGAAAACAGATATGTAGAAGTGTTGCATGCACAGCCATGTTATATAGTCGCATATGTTATATGTAACGTGTTGTTTACAGCTGCTTAACGATGCCAACAGCAACACAGATATATATATACAAGAAGCGGTGAGCTGATAGCAAACTATTTCGAACAAGCTCATACTCACTCATGAAATACATTTTGCCCTTAAGGGTCACTAAGACTCAGGCTCTTCGAGGTCCTCAGCTGAACTCCCTCGGACACAGACTTGCTAAAATTTTTCTCATCTCGACTGACTTGCGTTCAATTTCACCAGAATATCGCTCCCTCACTCAGATTCAAGCTTACAGCTCGATCAGAGTCTGACTGAGCCTCAGTGAGTCAGCTCATGAGTGAGTTTGTCAACCTATGCCAGCAGAAGGCAGCAACAGGCCCTCACCCATGAGGATCTTGTCTCGCGCACTCTCCAAGTAGCGCATGGACACGGCTGGTGCGGCATCAATGGCTGCCCTCAGTGCCGCCTGGTTGACCACATTCTCCAGGTCGGCACCCGTGAACCCTGTTGTGCCACGTGCGAGAACATCCAGTGACACATCTGAGGCAACCTTGACCTTGTCCAGGTAGAGCTGCAGAATCTCCTTGCGGCCTGCCAGGTCTGGCACAGGTACCTGGACTTCCACATCAAAGCGGCCCGGCCGCAACAGTGCCCTGGGCAGAATCAGTGTACCCTTCTCAGACACTTTCTACGGGAATGCAGCAGCACTATTTCGGGTAGTCCAACACACAGACATTTTTTTGCCATAGGCCGAACACTGGCAGTATATCATACCAATTAAAAGAAGGAATTCTATTTTTACTAGTATTAGTATCAATCAACACTTTTCAATCGCACTGTAAAAATACTATTTATGCAAGAATAATTGTACGAATATTACAGCTCACACAAAATGTCGGTGCATCTCTACATTTATGCAATATAAAAAAAATTCATACATACATGTTATATAATGGAGATTCATGCAATAATATACAAGAAATTTTGAACTTTCTTTGCTCTGCAGGAAGAGATAAGAAATTTTGTGAATTCTACCCCACAGCACTAAAGAGTACTACCAAAGGTACGACACGAACGTCAAGAGAGGGCTGCCCTCTAGCGAAAAATAAAACTTTCCAAGCAGTAAGTGATGCCAAAACAGGGCAGATAAAATTTTTTGTCTTTAGAAAACAATTGAGATATTGAGGGAAGTGCGCAGCAGCAGTGAAAGGAGCAAACTTACACTAGCTAGAAAGCACCTGTTGACATTCCTAGGTGGTTTGATTCCCTTTCCCTATGAGTTTTGCTCGAAACCACAAACTAAAATTCACTCTCGTATTACTGATACTGCCAGAATAAAAATTTTTAGTACTGTGTGAATATTCGAGCTTCAAATTTGAATTGTATAGTACCTAAACAAATAATTCTATTAAACTTTCAAATAGCTAGTATTTGAAGTTTTGAGTAATTCAACAGGATATACTTAAAATGTGACAAAGGGCAATGGTGCCACTAGGTTAGGGTGAAGTGGCCAAAAATTAATGCCAAGCCACTACAGTAAACACTTCATTAAAGCTCTCACTGATATACTGATTCAAAAGTGAGCGCACATCCATTTTAAAGCAGATCATGTATTTTTGCTCGTAAACACATATGCATGCACACGTGACAATACCGTCAACTACTCTGCTTCCGATAAAGGCACGAACTTCTCGCCTAGTTTGGTCACATATGCTGCAAGCGTGACAAAACGTCTTAACTTTGGCCCATGAAACCCATGGCCCATAAAACATCAAGCTAGGCTTCACACGAGAACTTGTTCACGCGGTGCAGTCGGCACTGCCGCATCGCAGAGCATCGAGTTGCACATTATCCAGGTATTGCAAGAAAAACAGAAATGCCTTGCGATCCCTTTCCACCCCTGGCACTGAGGTGCCCAGTGAGGGCATGTTTTCAACTGCAGAAAGCACTGTAACATCGTGGCAAGAGAGCCTAAAGCCAGGTCATGTGGAACAGCTTGTGTTCTTGCAGCACAACTTGTGGTCTTTTGGTAGCAGTCACTGAGTGCATTATGTGCTTGAGGACAGAGACAAATTTCATTTCTTTGCCGTTTTTTTTTTAATTTTCAATGAAACTTTTGTATTTTATGTTCAATATTTTTGGCCACTATTTGGCACTACTTGATTTTTGAGTTCGATTCGAGATGAAATTTCACAATTTACACATCCCTAGAAAATTCCGTGCACGAATGGATGCAACTAAGTAGTCACGTGCAGTCTTGACAAAGTCACTGCACAAGGCAGCAACACTGTATTAAGAACCACGACAGCTGGTTTTGGCCGAAAACCAAAACAAGCAAGTAGAACGGCAAAGGTACAGTTTTGTTTACACACTAAATGATGCTAGTTGTACAGGCACACTTCGAACCTGGCAAATGCTCATTTGTAATCATCAATAGGAGGCTATCGATAGATATATGTACGATGGTGAGGGGGGGGAGCATTATTGTACGTTAAAATCGACAGGCAGCACTAGGCCCCAATGTGTGTGTCCACAATGTGTGTGTCCACAATGTGTGTGTCCACTACAATGTGTGTGTCATCGTAGCTTCTTAGTGACTGATCCATCCCTTGTGCAGTAGGAAATATTATGCCGTTCACATGATTTCTGTGAAGGTTATAAACTTTTCAAATGGCGTGTGACCAGTAGCCATTCAACGCATGGACACAATTTCATAATCATTCCCGTTTAACGCATTACTCTAATCGATTACTTGCGTCAACAACAGAGTGAACATGGAAAGTGTTCTTTGGATGGAAGAGATGTACAAAAAGCTTCTTTATTTTGTCTCATCCCAACAGATTGTTTTTTTCCCCGTCTTCATAGCGCGGAGTTTGGGGAAGTTCTTTTATGCATACTGTATATGTATCATTCGTGCGTTGATGTCCACTAAAGGTGATTTTCGCTCTTATGAAGACAGGGACTGAATTCTCATGTTTTAATAACGAATATGAATTCAACAAGGCAACTCAAGCGCGTGAACACGAGACGACCTAGCCGCCCCAACAGCGCCCCGAGTACTCCAACTAAGATGGCGGCAGCACCGCTGTCAGAAACCCGTGCATGCCCAGGTCACCTGGTGAGATCAGTCTATTGCCTCTCAGAAGCAGTTCCAGAAAATAGGGCCATACCAATTGTGTAATAATACCTTTAGGCATTCATTTTCTCCAAAACAAGTGAAGAATGGAATTTATTTCTGATTGAGATAGTGTCAGCACCCAACTTTTTATCTGTTGCACAGAGCATGAATCTATTTTGCATAATAGTCTTGGAAGCTCGCTTTATGCAGAGGGCAACAAATTTTGCATTGGGGCTCTTTTATGCTAAGTATTGAATGTGTTGTCTCCCTGATTTATGACAATGTCTACCTGTTAGTACTGCAGCTGTCTCGGTGCTGCTGTGTGTGAGAATCTAATTAGCAACCTTATGTTTGTAACTAGTTCACTTCAAAAAGCAGGATCCAGAAGAAAAAAATACACCCATTTTTTTTTTATTGCAGCTGATTAACCAGACCAAACAGGCCATCTTATTAAAACGTTTAGCTTCAAATCACTTAACATGAAACAAGCTCTGACAGATTAGCACAAGGCACATCGAAAGAGCAAGATAATTTTAGCAGCACTTACTTGTCAAGGTCGTCCCTACGATTTGTAGCACCAAGAACAATAACTCCTTCATTTTGCCTGAAGCTAGAGTGAGAGAGAGACAAAAAAAAAAGAAGAAAAAAGTTCACTCTGAAATTATTCTCGCTTTATCAACAAAAGGCGAGAACGATACTATAGTAAAACTCCATTAATTCAGACTTAATGGGACAGGAGAGAATGTCCAAATTAACCGAGGGTACACATTATTGTGAGTACGAACAAAACACTTGAAAAATGCCTCCAACACCGTGAAACTTCTATTTCTTAAAGAAGTTTGTGATAGCAGTTTCTTCACAGAGGCAAAGTCACAATCTTGTGCAGTTCCTGCAGGTGGCTTAGTCCATGCATCATGCATATTTACTCTAAAACGGCTAACGCATGCGCAGCCTCTATCGTTGTGCGGCGTGTACGCTCGTCTGAATCACATGGGCTGATTCCCCTTCACCACCCAAGACTTCGGCGATGATATCACTATCGATCACTGTGCTGGCCACGGCAACATCGCTGTCAATTGCAACGTAATCGCTAAAGGGCACATCAGCTGGCATGATGCTTGTATAGAGGCTGTCTTGCTTTTTGTCGCTTTTCTTTTTGACCACCAAACCTGGGTCAGCAGCATTGTGCACGAAGCCGCTATGCCTAAAGCAGTTGGCGGCTACTTCACGGGGATGTGCTGTTCCACACATATGTGAGGATGTGGATTGCGCTTAGTCGGCTTACTTCGTACTGCTTGCATGTCTCTATGCAGAGCAACGTCCACTCGAGTACCTGCGATTGATAGTGGTTTTTCACAAACTGTACGATTCCCTAGTCCATAGGCTGGAGGGAAGCCATTGTGTTCGGAGGCAGGAGCAGCAGTTCAATGTTCTCGAGACCATACACCTTCGTGGGCGCACTACAGTTGTCCAGCACAAACACCTTCCGAACTTTGGCCGCAAAGCGGCGGTCAAGCTGACGCAGCCAGGCTTGAAAAAGTTCAGCAGTCAACTAATCCTTTATGTTAAACCACTAGTTGACAGGCAGCTGCTTAATATTCTTAAAACATCTTTACCACATGTTGCTGAACACCAGCCCGCATAGCTCCTTGAAGCGGCCGAACCATCCTTCCGACGCATTGAAAGAGTGTATATTCATGGTCAGTGCGAACTTTTCTGCTTGTGCGCACATATGGGGGCCGCTCAATGGCAAACGCGCATCGCGCGAAGTGGCAATCCAGCACAATAGTGCTTTTTCTAGCTTGGGGTGCACTGCCGTTCAAAGCCTCTTCCTCTTATCTCCAAATATGTCGCCAGCGTACGCTTGCATTATCTGGTCTTCGTTCTTCAGGTAACAGTTGCTCAACATGCTTTTCTTCACGTTCAACTTTTCCACGATTTCTTTTACAGATGCTCCCACTTTGCAACACCTTCAATATATTCACCTTCCATACGAAATCCTTAGCTTCGTACTTCGCCCTCTTTGCTGCGGGGGTTGGTGTGGCAGGGGCCACAAGGGACACAGGGAAAGCCATCCCAGTTTTGCACGAGGTAGACAACGAGCTCGGTGATAAAAAACCGTGTAAGCACGGTGACAGAAATGAAATTAAAAGACCCACAAACTTTTCAAAACAAGCATGCAATAAGGCTGTACATGGCATCGATCACACACAAAGGTGAATGATTTAAAACCAACCGCACAGTACAAGTGAACAATCCAACTGAGCCATCACATACACGTGTTCGACGCACAAGAAAAAAAGAGAGGCAAATCTGTTGGTTGCATGTTGCCCTGTTTCTGATGACAGCGGTCATGCACTGCCTTTCAGTTTGGTTGTAAGTCACCCCCATGTGGGTTTTTTTATGAGTGCTTCTGAGATGCAACGCTGATTCCTACCCATGAAGGAAGTTTCGAATCTTGGAGGCCACAATCCGATCTCATGTTTAGGTGCAAAGCAGATTTGGCCTGCAGAATTCGCTGCTGCTTACCTGTCCAAACGCGGTCGGGAGTTCCAACCTGAGCACCATCGAGTCTGGGCTAATTAATGAGAGTTTTCAGTCCTAGAACAATGCACATTTTGGACAGGATCACACGCCATGGCCGAATTAACTGAAATTATCGAATATTCTAAAATTGTCTGGGACCCTTACACAAAGACAAACTGCAATAAAATAACAAAAATACAGCGACTTGGTGCGAGATTTATTTTTAATAAATATAGCCGACATCATTCTCCTACTGAACTCTGTAAAAAAGCTGGACTGGATAGTCCTGAACTTAGGACGAGGATTGAGCGTCTGAAATTCCTCTTCCAGTTAATTCATAATCAATTTAAACGAAACTATTCAGATTACTTCCAGGTCAACACACAAGAACACTCCAGACATCGCCATAATATGTATATACCACCCCTAGTCCCACGTAACGATTGCTTTAAGTTCAGTTACTTTCCACGTGCTATTGAAGATTGGAATATGCTGCCAGAGTCTATAATTGGTTGTTCCTCGCTTACATCATTTGAACAGAATCTAAAACGTTTATTTTCCGAATAACAGTGACATATGTTTTTTTTTTGCGTGTGTGTGTACTTTTTGTTGGTTGCATGATACTGCAGTAGTTGTCTTTCAAATCTTCAGCGCGGTGCAAAAGTGCCGCCTCAAATGCGTCATGTGCTGTTCTGCGCGTATGTATTGCATCGCATGTGTATTCCATTTATGTATGTTATGTATAACTTCGAGTTGCTGGTCACAATAATACCGAGAAATTATCTCGAGACCTGTACGGTACTTCTTTTTTGCAAATAATTGTTTGTACTTCCACCCTGTAACGGCCCACTTCTGGGCTAACAGTATAAATAAATGAAATGAAATGAATTCCAAATTAACGGGGCTTGAACTAACAAGATTTTACTGTATATGCCCTTATGACACTGTGCCCTCATTAGGAGACGTGACTTACTTTTTACCATTTTTGTACTATTGGCAACATAGCGACCATTACCACTGAGCTGATGGTAAAGTCAAAATTCCCATTACCTAATGTAAAAGTTCCTGAACTAATTTTTTAAGCAATCATCGAGTCACCTCGCTATCAAAGTTTAATGCCACACAAACTGATTGCCACAAAAATTTTCCTAATCAGTCAAAAACAAGCAATGCTACAGGGATACACTCACAACTCACTATAACAAAGCCTAACCTGCCATGAAAATACTTCATTACCGCAATTACTCGAATCTAACGCGCACCTTCTTTCCGGTTAAGCAAGTTCATAAATCGCATCCGCGTTAGAATCGAGTACGAATAAAAAAATTACGGTCAATCTATTGCCATCAGCAAATCCAAAATGGCCGCCCCCTACGTGCGTCGGCATGGCGCGTCGGCCATTTCTGCCTATGTGTTTCCCATGTGCGGCACTTCGTACGTGTGCTGAGGAGTTCGTCATGTAGTAGTGAATTAGCATCGACGGCGTGGAAGGGCCAACTCCAAAAACTTGAGTGCACCACGATGCCGCTTTTAAAAGAAAAGTCATCACGTGTGCAGAAACGGACGGAAATCGGGCCGCATCGCGGTCGTTCGGAGTTCCCAAAACGTGCGTGCGGGACCGGCGGAAACAAAAGCAAAAGATTGTCGACAGCAAAGCTTAACGCAAAGGCTTCAGTGGACCACAGCAGGGTCGGTTTTCGCAAATTAAAAAGCTGCTCGGCCAGTATGTGCTTGAGCAGCGAGCGGCACAGCGGCCCGTGACGACAGAACTGCTCCAAGTGCGGGCTATGCAATTAGTCTTAGAAAAAGGTCTAATGCGAAGCCAGTTTAAAGCAAGCAAGTGCTGGCTAACTAACTTTATGAAGAGGAAAGGCTTTTCCCTCCGAAGGGGAACATGCACATGCGAAAAGTTTTGCGGAGGAATACGATGAAAAGCTTCACAGTTTTCAGAGGTTCGTCCTAAACTTGCGGCGCAACAACGGCTACCTGCTTGGGCAAATCGGGAATGCTGATCAGACACCTCTTTACTTCGACATGCCTGGCACCACAACCTTCGAGAAGAAGGGGGCGAAGCAAGTTCATGTGCTGACATCGGTCCACGGTAAAACTACAGCGACGGCAATGCTCTGTTACACGTCAGATAAGCACAAGCTTCGCCCGTACCTCATATTTAAATGGAAGACGCTCACGAAAGAAGTCGTTTTTTCGAGTGGTGTGATCGTGTGGGCCAGCGAGAAAAATGGGTGCGCGTTGCAATCGATGTCTTACGTTTTTTTTTTTTTTTTCCGCGGTGGAAATCGGGGGCGCGTTACAATCGAGGGCGCGGTAGAATCGAGTAAATACGGTATATCCAAATATTTGTTATAAACATATATTCGTAACACTGTATCTACGACAAAATTATTATCCACTTACTTCATTATAACCAATAACTTGTAATATCCATGTTGGTTATATTGAGATTTGAGTGTGTCCCACTCTTTGCACACTTCATTTCCTTGAAAGAAGTGGCTCAACGTTAAAAACAAGAACAAGAACAAAAATGAGACTCTGTCTCGGAAGAATGTGTTCTTTCTGTTTTATCCTTGTTCTTCTTGTTTTTACCTTCCGCGTTTTTCAAGGAACGATGCACCAAACGGCCCAACATAGCGTGCTCTTATGCACTTCCCTCTTTGGTCTTGAGAAGTGCACCACAAGCTACGCACACATGGTGGCACCGCCGTGGGAAAAAGGCACTGGGAAAAGAAGCTGCACTACATGTGTGCCACGACCTTGACCATGTGTCACAAAATGAGATGGCTCTGGCCTTGTGCGATTGCAGCATGCAGTAGTGTCACAACTGTAAAGTTTTAACACAGCGTGGTGCCGCACACATAGTGGTACCGCCGCGGGAAAAAGCACATCTGATCCAATCACCGCACTTAGCTTATGTCAGCTATCAGTCATGTGCTCTTTTTTTTACCAAGCACAAGGGGTCTGGACCCCTTTCAATCATTTGTGGGTTTTGCTGCACGTAGTCTTCATCAAAATGAAGACATTACCATGTATAACGATATGTTGGAAGCGGGGTATTTCAGCAGGAACTTCAAAATATTCTTTTACCTTTCCGGGAATGCTTTCCACAGTACATAGCAATTGCATGTAGGTTGAGTGAGCTGTTGAATTCATTTTATGAGGAAATGTTGGTGGCATTCCTTACTGTAAAATAACTATATAATCTTTTACACTGAAATTTCTATTAATTACAATGAATTGCACTATAATGTATTCCAACACCTCAACTTGCCTTAATTAAACGAAGTACCTAAAGCCTTGACATCAATATCGCATAGTACTTATACACGGTCAACATAATGTGTGTGGAAAAGAGGTATACCATTGCAACAATGCCATATTTGCTACACATTTACAAGATGTCCAATAAACAGTCTAAGTGTGTGAGCAGGGATACCATACCCATCCATTTCCGTGAGCAACTGGTTGATGGTCTGATTCGCGTACGGATGCAGCACAGAGTTGGTTCTCTTTGCTCCCACAGAGTCAATCTCGTCGATGAATACCACACAAGGGGCTCGCATCTTTGCAGTACCTAGGAAAATAATTAAAGCCATGTAGTATAAAGCAAACAACGATCAAGAAGAGAGACTAAAGTACAAAACTTGGCGATTACAATCATTGCTAAAACATGAATGAAATTATGCCCTAATTCTTGTTGTCTGCTTTTATGTGAAATTTCTAAGGCGGATAACTTGTTTCCAAACATCAATTTTCAAAATTATTTTCATATTCACAACTCAACGCAAAGAAATGTAGTGCAAAACCCGTTGGGAAAAAATTGCTTGCAGAGCATGTTGAGCCTTAATGACAACCTGGTTTACTACAAAAAGCAAAGGTCAGCTTGTAGAGAGGCATTGTGATCATGGCCAACGTGGCCATGGCATCATCAGTGCTTTGCTGATGGATACCAAGAGGCCGAATCAGTGATGATTTTTAGCCCAATCAAGTACCACAGGCAAAGCTATTTCAATAATTAAAAAATGAGTGTTTCAAACTTGTGGTAATGGTCACTGGTAGCACTGACTGACGCTCCCATGTTTAAATGCACATAAGTACCAACCACGTAAAGTGGATAGGGGGGGGGAGGGGGAATGGCTGTTACGGTAGCTCAGTTGATAGGGCATCGAACACACTCTTCGACAGTCAGAGGCTTGGTTCCTGCCCGTGACAAGCCATATTTTTGTCCACTTTTATTCTTCACATTTACGTTACATTTACTCCCAGTAACATTCCCCATACTTTCCTTGGGATATCTGTATGCTAGTCCTCATTATTATTGTCTCACAAAGAAAAACAAGCCTTTAATATTCTCACTTCTTTCATTCATTCATAGCAAGAGTCTCTTTCTGGCAGACTTGATGTTTCAAGTAATATGTGAGGGATCATTAGTCAGCTGCCAGCTCATAATAAGATCACATGCTACCTGATGCCAACAGGCTTCCGGCCTTGTCTGTGTTGGGAAAATCAGCTCTCATAGTTCATTACTGACCTCTAAGTAAACTTAGATTTTCTGTTTCAAAATTGACGTCACACACATGGATTTCTCGAGCACCTTCAATCGCGTCGCTCATGCAAGACCAATAAACAAACTCTGCTGTCTTAATTAACTTGGACCCTTTGTCCCTGTGATGGATCAGATGCTTTCTACCAGATCAGTCCCAGTTCACTGACATTGCCAGTCCTCATACCACTTTAGCTTATCTCAAAATCTATTATCCCTCAGGGGTTTGTGCTCAGCCTCTTACTCTTGCTAATTTATGCGAACGATCTACCATTAGAAATTTCATCATCCATTTGATTATTCACAGACAATTGTGCCCTGTGTCGCCAAACAACCACCGCTATCAATCATGAAATACATACCTCAAATCGACCAGTCCTGAGTGTCCACAGTAAACTAGTGTTTACTGTGGACACTAAGGACAGGTCGTTTTGAAGAATTTCATGATTGATAGTGGTGGTTGTTCTAGTGTTTACTGTGGATGATGCAGACGTTACCAAATGCAAAAGTTATGCACCTATCTTGCAAGCAGTCTGTGAATACGTCTACCATTTAACCTCAACGAAATTAGCATGTCTAGACAGATACCGATTTCTTGCTATACTAATTTATAACACTCTTTTGTAGTTGGATCTTATCATACACTCAGTAGCTGATACATCAAAGAAACTTGGTTACATCAAAAGAACATGATACGGTTTTACTGTTTGCTCCCCTCCCCCCCGCCTTGCAATGCCCCATTGGGGTCCTTAAAGGAACACTTAAGGCAAATAGCAATTTATGTCAGAGTGAAAGCTCATGTATGACAATCTTGAAATGACCATACTATAAACAGCAGTGCCCTACTTACTGAAAAATTTAGGTAAATGCACGAGAACACATGCACCACGAGTAGGACATTCGCAAAATGACCCCGATGACATTAGAGTCACCACCTACGATTAATCACTAGTAAATGAACTCGATCAACTAAAACAAGCAGTTTCTGTGCATCAAGAGACATAATAAAATGCTGCTTGTTCATTTTTGTTTGATTCATGGAAAAAGGAACCGCTGGACGTTACTATGGGGAATGGCGTGAGTGGTTCAAGAGTTCAATTTTCGCCTGGTTAAACTGGACAGGTCGTGACATCTAGCAGAGCCCAGTTTAACCAAGCACGCCTGCCATCTCGGAGGCCATAGCAGAAAATTGCTTAATGGCCATTGTTGCTACTGTGGCCCCCGTTACTTTCATCCAGCTGCTACTTCTCGGCGACCGTGCAGTAAAGCTGGGCAACGTTGTGCATGGCAACAGTGATGTGAGTGTTTCCATTTTGAGGCAGGTAACTTGAAGAGTGCCAACGCAATGCGGACCACTAAAACATGACTTTATTTCAAAATAAGCACTTCCTTGGCACAAAAGTAGCACTACGAGGTTTCTGGACCACTATTTCAGCAATCAACATCGACTTAATATTTGCTTTAGTGTCCTTTAAGGATTAAATAAATTATGATGACGAAATAAGTAAGAGACGGTTAGAGACTGGGTGGTGGAAAACTAGACAGAAACGACAAAAACAAATAGCGGGGAAAAATAAGACCATTCTGCCATAAGAGGCAGAAAGTAAGGCTGTGAATTTATGTTTTTCTTTTCTATAAAGAGATTGTTTAACTGAAGTGGACAAGGCATTAGGCCGACGTAATAAAAGTCATTCTTTTTTTCCGAGCTTGATAGCACACAGGTTATCACTCTATCATGAAGGAGATTCTCGTAGCATCCATCCCTGCATCTAATAAGGAAAAGATTTACGTTATTTTGTCGTCTAAAGCTTCACTTATTAAAGTTGTTGCCTATAATTAGATCCCCATTTTATTCTGCTTAAATTGAGCACACAGTTTTTCAGTTATGCTTCAGGCGGCCAACCTGCTTTTGGGCCCACAGCTGTGCAGTGATGCGTTTTTACCGAGACTGCCTTGCTGTTTTTTTTTATGCACGATGATGCCAATCAAACTAAAAAACGACATCGTGAGAACTCACTGAATAGGTCCCTGACCCTTCGTGCACCCTGGCCAACAAGTATTTCGTCAAACTCTGGGCCAGCTGCATGGAAGAAGGGCACATTCGCTTCGCCGGCCACAGCCCGAGCCAGCAGGGTCTTGCCGGTGCCCGGAGGCCCCACTAGAAGCACACCTGCAAGCAGACAGTTCCCACATCGTCACCAGATCACATCGTGCCAGCACATTTCTCGTTATCCTCCTCTCTTCAGGGCACGATCAAGCTTTCGACAAATCAAGCAGAGCTGAGCAGTCTACAGTGCACTGTAGAGTGGCTGTGTGTGTGTGTGTGTGTGTGTGTGTGTGACCCTTACCACAAGATCTGCTGGAGGATTACTACTGGTAGCACTGCTCTCTTAAGTGAACGAAAAATTTTGGAACATATAATTATTTCGAATAGATCATCCCGATTTTCGTGCCAAAATAGATAAGAATACCTTGACGGCAAAGCTGATAAAAAAATCTGCCTATATTGATATCCATAATTCAAGCTCATTAGACTATGCCATCCCTTCCGTTGTCTTGGAAGTGGGGAAAAATCATGCGTCTAGCTTCTGAAGATCCAGGAAAAGAAAAAAGGTTAAATATTGCGATGTTTTTAGATAACTGATGTAAAAAAAAAGGCAGATTATTGCAAACGTTCTTCTATAGAAATGAATGCTGATGCTCACATTGCACAAGCCTCCTTCGCAGTTTCTGTGCTGGTATTTTACCTAAATTAAAGGGGAAATCCGGCTATTTCTTAATGTTTACATTCTTCAATAAAATTTTCAACATATGTAGACTGGAGCCCAGGTTCAAATCACTTCAGATAATAGATTACTTTTTTTTCTAGTTTCATGTTATTTTTTTTTATTTCGCACAATAGTGGTTACAGACTGTGAAAGCGGCAGACAACTAAGGTGCCAAAACCAACATTTGTTGTGACCTCATAACATGTCAAAGGGGTATTCAAGCTCAAGCCAGCTCAAACCAGCAACAGCCAAAGCCAGTTGTCAGCCTTAATGAATGCTGCATCATGGTATAACATCAAGAGCAAGCATACCCTTTGGCAGCTTTCCTCCAAGAGAAGAGAACTTTTCGGGGTTTTTAAGAAACTCAACTATTTCTTGCAATTCTTGCTTGGCTTCATCAACCTATGAATAAGGAGAAAATGAAATGCAGGACGTAAGGTTCCAGCGTGTTCTAAAGCTAATGAGCCAAGAAGAGCTTTGACTCACTAATAATGACTGGGGGTTTATGGCGGTGCAGTTGCATCTCCTTTTAATGATACCGGTTTATGCAAGTTATCACATGTTCAAAGCAATCCACTTATAACAATACTGACAAAATCAGAAAGTTCAACCATTATAATTGACTATCATTATGTCTGGCCTTGCAAAATAAAAAAACTTGCATGCATTTCCCTATGCATACAGGGGTAGTTACTCGCTAAAAATATATAATTGATGGGAAGACCACAATAAGATTATGAAGGATGCCATGGTGGAGGGCCTGAAAAATTTCAACCACCAGGTGTTCTTTAACATGCACCTTTAGCAGACGGTCCGCTTCGCCTCCATCTAAATGTGACCACCACGACTAGAGTTAAACCTGTGCCTTGTGAACTGGTTGCCGAGCATCGTAACCACTACATACCGTGACAAGTGTAAGCATACAATCATTTTTCCGGCATGGTAGAACCTCATAAACAGTTTCATGATTCATTCCGATGAGAGACAAATGCATACAGCTGATGCGAATTATCCTGGTTCAAAATGTGGATGGCCATCTTTGCGGGTGGAAGAGTCGCCAACCATCCAGAGTTACGACACCATTCTAAATTGCATGCCCATTGCTCCACAAATTTGATATGCAAATTGTCTTCGACTTCTAAAGTTGCATGCTACTGTAGTGTGATGAGCTTGAAATTAGACGAGAGAGAGACAATCAGTTCAAAGTCACTTGGACAAGAAGGTGCATCATGTGTCAACAGGTTTCCTGGACGGAATGACAAGATTCTTTGTATGGAGGAAGAGTACAAACTGTGTAACTGCGCAATATCCATTCACTTCATCCAGGTTTGAGGTATCTACATTTCTCTTTTAGGCAAGAATATATTCTTGCCTTTTTTTTTCATCCAGACGGCTCGTAAATTGATCTAGCCACTCCGTTCCGATGGCGCCCCAATTTTAAGAAGTATGTAATGGTCATAGCTTCTGGTCTCATTGCTACTGATCTTGAAGTCTTAAAGACCTAAAAAATGACTACAGTGCGTTCTCTACAATAAGGCACTCCCTTGAGATGCAATAATGCACATGAAGCACAGAAAGAGATTGACGCACGCCTGGTCTCTGGTTAGACTCAGCAAGAAAGTGTTGCATTTTTTCTTTAGGCATGATTCAACACCATTTGCCGATATACAGCACCGATTCCTAAATAACACCGATACTTGCAAGCTAGTATCACCTCTCTCAAAGAAGTCGACACTTTCTATGCATCTTAAACTTTAGTTTTCTTCCATGCAATGGGAGAATACCAATTCACAAGTTAATCTACAAAACAGAAAAAAATCTCAATTTAACATGACATAATACTGCTGCCATGCATCATGAGAGCACGAAATATTTTTTTTTAGTTAGGCTCACAAAAGTTTTGCGATAGATGGCAGCAGAGCATGGCGCTGATTGGCAAGGAGAACTTTACGAATAGAAGTGGGACACATTCGTCTCATTATTCCTAAGAGCTTCAATGCAGTAGAGTGCCTCTGGGATGTCAGGTGCCAGCACACTCCCGGTAAGACCTTGATAGCTTCTCAGCAAAGCAGGAGAACGAGCTTCGTTACTACGAAAATAAAACAGCCAATGACACAATCCACTGATGTGAGCAAAAATAAGCCTTGGGTGTAAATCACTCACTCCTTTGACATCGTCAAAAGTGACATCAATGTCCTCAGGCATCACTTCATTTGTTGTGCCAATCAGAACTCTTCTGAAAGGACCCCCTAAAAAATGGAAGGCAAGAAACAACAAACGGACGCTGCAGTGTGTGTACAATTATCAGACTGCTACCCATTTTAGTATCAAGCTCACCATACTTTGAGGATAAGCACAACAATTGATGGAACGTTTATCAGGAACCTCACTGATGCTGTACAGTATAGAAGTTATAGTTTTTAAGTGCACTTTTATGACTGGTACAAAACCGTGTTCTCTGTGAACTGTACAAGTTTTATTTCTTTTAAAGCACTGCTATTGGAAATGGTGAATTGGTTGGCTTGTTTAGAAATCATTATAAGTGATGCCAATGTGTCTGCACTGACAGCATGGTATCTGACTTCAAAATGAATCTGTGTCAAATGTAGGAACGTTTCATTTTGCTGCAGGAAAAGGAGCTGCCAGGTTAAGTTAAGTAGTACTGCTGTTTCTGTGCTGCTACTGTCCTTGAATGCTAGCTAGGGAAATCAATTTAACAACAAAATCTTTCAGGTACATCTTCAATACGATGACCTGACACAGAGCCTGATGCCAATGTTTTCAAAGTGTCCAATGGCAAAATGTGTCCACATAGCAAGTGGTAGCTATGATCACTACATAGCCCAGGGCCATTTCTGTTTGCACTGCACATGAAATATGAAATCACGTACCGTACATTTCTGTGAGGAGTAAGGGGTAGTAACAAGCAAATAAGCTTAATTTTCGTCAATTTACTGGTAGCTATGAGCTGAACTATGAGTGCAGATGACTTCTTGTGTTGCCTGCTAGCCTTGGCGCGTTTGCATCTTCACACACGTACTGCACATGCTCAAAGGGCAGTTTGCTCCATTGTCAGCACGGTCTGAAATGCTTATTATTAGGTGTGTGCCTGTCACAATGTGCAGAAGCAAATGTCCTTGCTACGCTGTATATGCACTGTAATAAGATAAGTGATTGCGTGTGTCATCCCACCTACATGCATGATTGTCCCACCGTCCCTTTGCCAAAATCTCGTTGAAACATGTGCGCCACTCTGTAGTTCAAGCACATTACAAAATGCACCTGGCGATGTCCTAAGCAAGAAAAGTTTTTAATATTGAGGCATGAATGTAATGTTAAGGAGACACTGTCTAGCAAAGTGTCGATATTAAAAACATTGTGATAGCACAGAACATTAACTAGTATCTGGGAACACCACTTAAAGATAAACAAAAACAAAAATCTATGCCACGCACATTTATAGCAGTGAACTTGTGTCGCACCATATTACAATCTGTCAATGATGGCCATCACACTGTTCATTGGCATATTCCACTTCTCAGATATAAAATAGGAATATTAAGTGGCCTTTGTGTGGCAATGAAAAGCATATCTACAATCAATAAGCTGCAGTCAATTTGATATACTCACTGAAAAGACTGCTCTAGGGAAAGCACTATCGTGTACATTTGGATGCGTGCCGCTCATCGTCCATACACACTAGAGCAGTGACGGTACTGCCACCTGTGGCCTAACCTCGCTGCCAATACTACACCAACATGCTGCATTCTGATGCAAGCTCAAAGGCGACACAAGTTTCTGGGGAGCAAAGGAATGTGCCAGATCGGCGCACGTCACTGCCATGGCCTTTTTTCACCAATAGCTGTAGCACATAGCTCAACAAAGCTAGCCTGTCTGCAAAAGGTAAAAAATGAATGTTTTCCTGGTACCAGAGAGCTCACCCATGAAGGAAAAAAGGATCGCCAGGATCAGGATGATGCCCAACAGATCACGAAAGATGTTGAACACCCTGAGCTTGGTGCTGGTGCGGACCCTTTGGGTCACACGCCATGTAGCCCTCAGCAAAGGCAACCTGCGAATGGGCCTCTGCTCAGAACATCTGCGTGCGTGAGGATGACTTCAACGAGTGCCTTACCCTGAGTCTCTGCTGTTCCTCCTGGGTCAGGTTTTCGTTGGACAGAAGCGTCTTGAGACGTTCACTCTGTTCCGTTTCAGATTGAGCTTTCTGTCTGTCCTGCAAACAAAACCCGATTCATCTGTGACACTGCAAGGGATACCATACATGCACATTCTCAAAGTTTCAGCTCCCTGATTATTTAGACATCCTTAAGACTGTTCGTTTCTCCACCCTAATTACTTATTTGTGCACATACCTCGCAGGTTCCCGTTTCTGAAACATTGCATGAGGGGGAGAGTTATAGCAATTTATATACAAGCACAAGTTAATGATGTAATACATGCTAAATTCAGTAATTTCAAACAGAAGGTACATCCTAATTAAATAAACAAGGCAGCGAAACACCCGTCAAGATTTCTATAAAATGTGGGGTCATAAAAATGCATGCCAAAACACACATAATGCAAAAGTACAGAATAAATATACTGTGTATACAAATAAAATGCAAATACTGAGGTAATCCAACCAGTTTAGGATATGGAGCAATTTTCGGAGCAGATTTGCAGCAGGGGGAACTGTGTTTTGGAGCAGGTTTGGAGCAGAAAAAAACTTGAAACAGAACATGCCTAAATTTTCAATGAATATTCTCGTCAATGTCCATGCAGGAAATGATGCTGTTGTCTAAAGGCGAAAACCCAGTCGAAATCCAAAATCCAGATGCCAAATTCCGGAGAGCAGCCATTAATCAAGTTTATGCATGAAGGAGCGGTGAGAAGCAAAGCATGGCACGTACAGTTTCTGTGAATGACAGGTGTCTTGAGGGGGACGAGGGTCTTGAAATAGCACGAAACTGAAAAAAGTGCCGACTTTCAATATTTGCAATTTGAGGTATTTATAGTCGAAAGCATGTTTTGGAAAAATTTTATATTATGGCAAAATACCATTTATCTTTCTTAAAAGCTTAATACATAAAATCACAAATGTTTTTAAAACTGAAAACATGATTTCTTGACATTGTTATTTTCGTGAAGTAAATGTGCCTTACGGAAGTTTTGAGCAAGTTTCAGTGAAGATATCTAAACAAACTTGGTACCATTCTTTTCCGCAGCACTTGAACTACAGGCTAAAGCTTTTCTTTTTCTCTCAACATTGATAGAATTGTTTTATAAGACAAATACCAGCCAATTACTGGAAGCTCACTTCTACCTTCCAAGTTTAAAAATTATTTCTGATCAAAGAAATAACCGTTCTGACATCTAGTTTGGTTTATTCTATGGAATGAACCTTTTAGAAAAAACATGTAGTCTTGAAAAGTACTTTTTTATTGCAAGTTACCATAACAACCCATAAGAAATTGCCTAACTATAATTTGGAAATTTGTGACTACTTTCTTTCTAAATAAGATATTTGAAATCTGTCTGCAGATTTGAAATTTCCATCCAATGATACATATGCATGGAAATTTTCATGACAGTAGAATAATCAATGAAAAGTCTTTTTAAGACCCACGTCCCCCCTTAAGGCCAACTTCGCTTTTTCCTCTGCGCTGGTACTTGTCTTTTATTGCGGTAGCAGTTATATGGTTAAGATGAAAAATCCGTAAACAGAAGTTGTGTCGAGCCGACGTTTCGACAAGCAAACTTGTCTTCATCAAGGCTAGAACAGAACTGATTTCTTTAGCGCTAGCGTGTCTATGCTTCATACTCTCTCCTTCATGCTAACAAAGGAGGGGGAGGCGCAACATTGGTTACGCGGGTGTGAGAGAGGTGACAAATAGTACGAGTGAAAAAAAAAACAGGTACCCCGTCAATGAAAATAAGGAAGAAGAAAATAAGGAAGCGGTGGGGAGGTGAAGATGTACACGTGTCGCCAAGTCCTGATAAGAAGTTAACAATGGCAGGTTTAAAATTCCCAGATGAAGAGCTTAACTCACAGTGGTTTTCACTGTGTAATTACTATACCAAATTGAACTTGTGAATAAGGTACGACTCTGTATATATTTTCTTCCTCTTGCAGACCGGACTGAATTATGCAGAGTTTGAGATCTTCGAAGTCGTGTCCTGCTCCATCAACATGCTCTGCCACTGCTTTTGTAATTTCTTTGCCGTGTCTGCTCGATGACCGTTTAACATTGACAGGCTGTCCTGTTTCGTCAATATACGTTTACGATAATATGAACATTCGATCATGTAGATAATGTTTTCACAAGTGCAGGCGAAACTTGATCTCATGGATATAATCACTCTCCGTGCTTTTAACTGTCATGTCATCTTGAAGGTGTTTGCAAGTCTTGCATCTTGGATAGGGGCAAGGTGTTACTTCGGCAGTAGAATGAGAGTGTACTTCTACATACACTAACATGTTCTTAATGTTCCTACTGCAGCAATATATGGCCTTTGGTGCTTTTAGAAATGCTTTTCGAAGGCGCTCGTTGCTTCCCAGTATTGGATGATACTTACGAATGATAATATTTATCTTAGGGAGAGCATTTGAGTACAGTCGAAACCCGCAATAACGAAATCGCCGGGGAAACCGAAAAATTTTGTTTCGCGAGAATTCCCTTGCCGCGAGTATGAGACATAAAAACAGTGATACGGCCAGCAGAACGAAAATTTATTGCCAGAAGTCGGTCAACTTACTTTGCCGACCCTTGCCATGCAACAACTTCAAAGCTCTGCCTTCGCACTGGAAAAAGTGGTCCATTGCTACATCGTCGTCATGTGCGCTGAAAGAGCGAAGGGTGTCCTGCGCATCCAAAACAACCCGCGGGTTGTTTTGGATGTGCTAGCGCGTCGTTCCTGCCCGCAGTCTCACTGTCAGTGAAGTTAGGGCTAAGGCCGACTCCGATGACGCGCCGCGCTCGTAGACCGGGCGCCCGCTCGTAGTAACCTGATCGTGCAGTCGGTGCGGCCACTCGTAGTAATATGACCGTGCCGCCACTTACAGCTTCGTTGCTTGCGATGAAGCAAGTCGCCACGAGTGCGCTAGTGCGTCGTTCCTGCCCGCAGTCTCGCTGTCGGCTGAGTGAGGGCTAAAGACGACTTTGATGAGGCGCCGCGCTCGTAGTAACCTCATCGCGCATCCGCCTACTGCTCCTAACTAAAGCATAACTATATCTAAAGTGATCATCGAGCCGTGAACACGTCACAAAGTAGCAATTTTCAAGAGCCATGTCTTCGCGACGCACAAGCAGCAGACGACGATCTCCCGGAGCGAGCATAGGGCCAATGGAGAGGCGAGCTGAGGCAACATGGCAGCCACAGCCAATGAAGGGCCTCGAAACGACCTTCAAACATTTGCTTTTTGTGCACTTGTTTTTAAAGGGAGGAGCCAACTGAGGCGGGAAAGTTAAACACCGAGAAATGCTCTTTCCGATCAGCCCAAGAAGCCAGCTCCTGGCCTCGCCATTGCGAAGCCATAATTTTTTGAAAATCGCTGTTTTCTCGCGATTCCCAGAAAAAGTGTCGCTACCTAGGTGGGTGAAATGAATTTTCCGAAACACTTCTGCGCGGTTTTCAGTGTAGATATTTTGGAATCAGAAAAAAAAAGGGTTCCAGAAACTAAAAACTTGATTTTCAAAAAATAGCTTTTTTGCTATTTTTCGTGATCACAAAGCCGCGTCCTCCCTTAAGTAAACAAAAATGGCGGTACCCACGCTAGCGCGGCAAAAGCAGACGTTTACAAATATTTAGTGCGCATAACACGCATACGAGCATATTTTAGACAGTTAACCTTTGGCGGGAGGGTAAAATAAGGCCCGCACCGTGGTAGAAAATTCGTTAATGCGGGATTGCTGTCCAAAAACATTTCGTTGCCGCGAGATACGTAATACATGGGCTTCTAGGATCGTTCGCCGGGGATCAGGAAATATTTCGTTGCCGCGGGGTTTTCGTACTCGCGGGGTTTCGTTATTGCGGGTTTCGACTGTATTTGGTATAAATTCGGGCAGCTGCTTGGGTTGGGCTACAGGGGTTTTCTTTAGGTAACATTGTTTTCTTATCTAGTTTAGATGCTTTGTTGTAGACCTTGTTTACAGTGTCTTGTAGGTAATTTCTTTCAACGAATGCTTCCTCTCTAGGTTACTTAAATGGTTGGACATATTCACCGTTGTCACTAGATTCTTACACGCCTCGCTTGTCTGACGAAAATACGTTTTTGCAGTGTCACGGGTGGTGACAAATGTAATCAGGTATTGTCGGCTGCCTGTCACTTTTCTGTAAAGCATCGTCTAATTTTCCTGCTTTGATAAATACTATCATGTTTAGAAAGTTCATTATAGTAAATTTAATACTAGAGCAAGGGTGCAACAGCCAAAATACGATTTGTAGCAACTTTTTGGAGCAGCAAAATGTTACTTTTGGAGCACTAAAATCCAAATTTGGAGCAGGTTATGGGAAAAGAACATGTGTTTTTCATCATAAAATACCAAATTTAGAGCCGCATAAAATAGAAGGCTTACATTTAGAAAGAAAATATGTATAAACCACTAAACCTAAATCACGCACTGTGAACATGACTACAGCTATTTCAATGAAAGTAGTATTTTTAAACCACCCCACTGAGAAAACAATGATAAAGTCCATATTACCATTTGCTGCAGGCCGTCAAATCATTTGACAGACTATGTGAATTCAAATATAGATTTGCCAAGCTTGCGACCTTGAAACTCGGGAGATTCGTAAAACCGAGGAGTAGGAGTGGCGAAGAAAAAAAAAAAACTGGCGCACATTTTTTGGTAATTCTTTTAGAGAAGTGAAAATGACATACACTGTTCCAAATGATTGTCAGTAGCTTATTTAGACGTCAGTGATTAAACTGGTACTCAGAATTAGGTGGCGTACAAATGCACAAGTAACTGAACAAAATGTGCAGTGTCCCGTGATGAGCACAACAGCCCCTTCCAATATCAATCACAGGGACTGGATCTACAGTGCAAAGGCCAAGGATGACAACACTGATGCCCAGCTACTGTAGGCCAGGCTCACCTTGTCTTTTCTCGTTCTGAGGGCCAGAAAACGCTCATTCAAGTCGGGAGCCTTCATCACAAGGGCTGAATGGCCTGCTTGCCTACTCTTCGTCTTGAACCCTCGAATTTGGTAAGCTGTGTGCACTGCAACGCAAATGAAAAAGGCCACATTCAGCTGATCTGTTTTCCATACAGATATAAAAACACTGAAATACACACGGCACCACTCTATAAATTGTGTCATATCGCATAGAAGAAAAGGCTACTGACTAGTGCCACCTTGTTTCAATGTGCTGCCATCATGCACTGTAGTATGACAAGGCATTTCAGCTCTGAGAATATTATCCAACGTTTCGTACAAGTATGCAGAGATATAGCTTGGCTGTGCAGAACTATCACATTGCGAGCTGAACGACAAGGTGGTGGAGAGGAAGAAATCAACACCAATACCGTATATCTACGGCCTGTCCCAGTGATTTAAAAAAGGGTGTCCAAGCATTACAAAGTGGATGCGATTTTCAGCACCAATAATAATCTTAACTCTTATGTTCCGGCCAGCATACATGTTCACGTAATAATGGACAGCAGAAGAAAGCTTCATTTTGAGTATTCCCTTTGTTCTGTGTGTTTGCAACATTGTCTAGCATATTCCTTTTTCCTGCAGATGCAGTTGCCTACATGGGACAAACTTGTCAGTGCTTGAGTATCAGGCTTACATTTCCATCAACATGGCTGCTACCTGAATCGAAAGGCCCTTCAGTTATTTTTTTTTTTCAGCACTATGACAGGCTAACCATGGAAATTGCTGAAACCTACTAGATTCTAGACATGGTTCCATGCATGTCAGTCAACTTTTGACAGGCTTACTAACCAGTGAAGTGTAGCTCCAAGATAAGTTGTCCTACGCTTCAGTTATGATAGCACATTTGAAAGTGCAATCGACATAGTTTGTTCACACACAGTTTTTGTTTATAACGTGGATAAGCCAGAAGTTTTTATGTTCGTTAGAAGACTTGAACCTGCATGCATCTTAGTGTTCTGACTTTTTTTTTCAGTCTCTATTTTTTGTGTGCGGATGATTAAAGTCAGCTGGAGGAATGTGAGGACTCGTCTCCTTTAACATTGATGCACCCTGCGCCTCAGAAACCTCGGCATCAGGTTTTCTGCATCCATAAGGCAGAGGCAATAGATATCAGCGCTGTCAGGGTGATGGATAAACAATGTAAAATATTTCTAAATGTTGCACTTCAATGCAGTGAGTACTTACATGGCCTTGTTAACAGCGGTGATGCAACTCTATATGAACAAGTCCCCAAGAACAGACAAGGCAGTGCACTCCTCCTCAGATGCTCCTTGGTGAACCCTACAAAGAGGGGAGGCAGGAAAAAATCCCTGTGGTTTAAGAATCATCTGCTTATTGTTATTGTACTGATGCCTGAGGCACCATATTCCCAGCTGCCGTTGTCACCAGTATGCTCTGCTGATTCCGACCTCACAAGCAGGGGTGAAGTGACTAAATGTCACGACTGCATAAATATGGTGGACAATATGCTAGACTGGCATAGTAACACTCACACTTCCATGGCTGGCATGGGAATATCATAAGTAGTGCACCCAAGCATCCTAGCATAAACAAAGTCCAAGGTCTTCGTTCCCTTTTTCATGTATGCTTCACGCTTTACACCACCACTTCTCCCCCAGACATTCTGTTAGTCTTACATAGCATGCATTGAATCACAAGGCAATACTACCCCCTGGTGGCGCTGCTCATACGGTGACGTGACGTCACGGTACAGTACGAACCAAAACTACCTCTTGAAAGCATGCTGTAATTAATTCTCCGAAGTTCACTCGCGTGTACCGATGCATTTCCTACACTCTCGAAGGGTTGGCCTATCGTTAGACGCAAAAATACGATAAGTGAAAAATTTCGTGTCAGTACCCCTTTGACTTTTCCGTTATTGTGCGAAAATGGTTACTTCTCATTTGTCTCAGGTAAATAGTTTCTGCCAGTTTGAAAAGTACTCCAGCATGCATTTCAGCACACCAAACTTTGCAATACTCTTTCCAAAACATATACATTGGGGAGGAAGAAAAATATCTTGGAATGGAAAAAAAAAATAAAAACTAATTTTTGTTGCCAGCTGGTAAACAGTGCAATAAACAATACTATAAAAGCAAGGGTATTCAGAACAAAGAAAATTCATACTATACATTTTGAAGTAAGTGACCCATGAACAGTGAAAAAAATAATGTACAAAATGTTTCTGTTCACATAGACAAAGAAAATCGGAACCGAGGTGCTGCTTGATTGCTCGGGCCATGCGGTGAAGCATTGCTTGGATTTTCGCGAGAACAACGTTTTCCGCGAGCCACCTCACTTCACATAGGTTGTATTTTCAGTAAATAAATCAAAGCATATTTCTTTGCATTTCAACACATCGTATTTAAAAAAAAACAATATAGCCCAAAGTTCTAAAATATTTCGCGTAACTCTGTAGTCAGGGCTAAGATGCGCTCCATTGGCCTTCTTGTCGTGAGGAGAAGCTCTGTAGTCAACATCTGCACATCGCGCCCGAGCAACGTGAGGAGCTCGCATGTAACCAAAGTAGCTACAAAATTGTGCACAAAGGTCAGCAGCTATGCACTTGCGACGGAGGAGACAATTTGAGGCTGTAAGCGAAACAAACCTAAGAACGGCTGGATATGTTTCAGGGTAATGCAATACATCGTTGCCGTAAAACTTGAAGTTGAGGTGCTGCCATCGTTAGACTCTAAGCTCGCCCTTATTCAATTCAGCCACGGTTGCAAGACAGTTTTTAGCGGCGCTGGTGCCCAGGTGCCCACCCATGTGAGCCTGTCGACGACACCCTACGGGCGAATATAGTGACACTAGATGTGGCCTTGTGTCTGATACAATTGTACAAGCGAAACCAGGGCTGCAGAAACTGACTGAAAAGGCCACCTCCACACATTATACTGGCAGCAGACCTTCGGAAATATTTTTTTCATAGAATAAATTTTCCCCAAGTCCCATCGAAATCTCTCTATTGAATAGCTGGCATAAATTATGGCCATTATTGCTGTTCAACACTGTTAGATCATGAAGCCGACACTTAGTTTAATATTTGACCTGCAAAGGTCCTTTTGATTACAGAACAATGATGGTACTGTAGCATAACCACAAGGGGAACGTACTTCTGTCAAGTTTGCCAGCCAAGTGCATTTTCTCAACAACACACAAACGTTGGTTCGCGCAAGAGCCTGCCGCAATTCTCCATGTTGCGAAAACGGGCTAAAGTTGAGTGGCTGGACTAAGTACTAGAAAGTTCTGGGTGCACGAGACACAAACTCAACATGCCGAAATTGACGATCCAAAACGTCGATCACCGATGATCGATTTGAATGGGCATGGTAACGAAAAAGTTAATGGTTCAAATCACGGACCTAAAGAGTGAGCGACGTCCATGAGCAATGTGTGGTAGAGAGAAGCCCACTAGATGTCACTAGAGAGGGTGACCCACTACAACATTCGTTACTCTTTGCTACAATTATCTCCTGGAACAGAAAATGGGCACTTGTCCTAGAGACCCAGCAGCTTGTCACTAGGAGTGTTTCATAGCATGACTTGTGACGCTACATATTGACACATCGCGTCCATGATGGTGCATGTCCATAGATGGTTCAACGGGTTCAGTCAAATAGTTGACGGGCAATGGGCTGTACGACAACTCGATAGGGACCTTCATACTTGGGAGGATACCTTGAGGAGAGAACTGGTGCAGTGCTAGGAAAGGAGAGCTGCTGTTCTCCAGAAGGGAAGGTGGCGCTGGAGAAGAGTCACCATCAACGTCTGGCCATTTTGGCTGTTGAGGCAAGGGCACGTGCAAAGTCACGGCACTCTTCAGAACACCTCACCGTGTCAGATGTGGCCACATACTTAAAATCATATCGTAGGCAGACAGGTTGCTACAATGGACAGCACATGATGATTAAAGAACTTGCCATTTTTGTTTTCAAAAAATGTGTTGGCAGAACACCATGAAACATGCCAGGAGGGCCTGTGTTGCACAGTTTCAATACTTGAGATGGCTAGATGCCTGAACTGTGCTTCTGTCAATGAAAGTCTTGCAAGGTCCTGCAAACTGGACTTGGAAAGCCAGGAAAGTACCTAAGAAAGAAAGAAATACATACATATGCACAAAGTCACAAGGCTGAATAAATTTGAAAAAGTTATAAAAGCAGAAGTTGCAGTATGCTTGACCATCCTCTTTAAGAGAGGAATGCGATATCGTTACCAGGCCACATTCGCACCGTCTTCCAATTGTACCACCACGTATGGACAGTGCCGCCATGCTACGAGTTTCAGAAAAAATGCTGTGGAATCTCTTGCACTGACTTTCTGGCTAAGCTGAAGCTCACACAATCCCACCCCTTATCTCATAAACATGCATGTGTACACCTCATCCAAGCCATGAGGATAGGAATGTCTGTGTGCATGACATCAGCTGTTGTTAACTTCCTAAGGGTATTTACTCCAAATGCAGCACCACATTTAACCATCACACCACTATTCGGTGGGGGACTGAAACTGGCTGCATCACCTCACTGGCAGCAACTTTCTACCATACGCGGATGCTAGAAAATGGTGAGACTATTTTGGAACAGCGATGCTCCGAGGGGTTCTATTCTGGACACTATAGAGTTCTGCCACGTGGTCACCTCTGATTGGCCCAGAGGGTTTCCACACACCTCTGATTAGATTTAAATGTAGCCATTGTGGAACTTTACAATATGACAGTGCGACAGCATTCAGAACATTTAGAATGCGACAGCATTCAGAACATTTAGGAGTTTTCATAGTGTAGCTCCATGCTGCTTGTCTTTTTTTTTACAGCAAGGCTAGAGACCAGGTTAATGGTAATTCATAGAGTAATGCCTTAGTGCAAAAACAATGCAACACATTATCATTATATTATAAATTTCTAACCTATTTAAACAGTGTTGACCGGCTTTGCTAATACAGTTATCACTACACATGCAAAGTGCCCACACAAGCACAACGATATTTCTACTTGGCAAAAAATCGTTTTCCTGGCTGGTTTATATAAACATGCTAACAAGCTGCATACAACAGTAACATTGAGACAGGCAATCCTTTAAAGTGCAAGGTGTGCAAGAGCAACACAGCGATCCATCTTAGTTCAAAGATTACTCACATTGCAAAAGCTTTCGGGACACAACACATTGCTCTCACTGGCTTGCCTCCCATGTCGCTGGCAAACTTTGTCGTTGGCACGGCCTGTGCTTTTGTTTGCAACCAACGATGCGACATGGCTCAGGGGGAACAGCACCTGAACAAAGCAGTACTTATTTGTCTTTTCAAGAGCAAGGTTTTTATAGTTGGAAAAAGCTATTAGCTAGTAATTTGTAGTATGCCACAGAACACTGATGACCTATTGCAACGGTGACATGCATGTTTTGCACATACCGCAATGCGGCCTCATTTTCACCCATTTCGTACACTGGTTAACTGAGCCGCTTCCCTCCAGAGGAGGATAGCATACTTCTTATGTAGGACATTGATATGCAAGACTGGGAGTAAAGGGTGTGCCAATAAAAGATGTACGATGTCATGTTTGATAACATGTTGAGAGCTGCAACCGTTGCATTCAGCCCCACCACACGCTATGCGTACACAAAATGAGCAAAGGTGCAAAAGTGACACCCGTGAGCAAAGTGATAAAAGAATGGAGTTAAGAATTAGTGTTGAAGAGCTGTATGTGTTCAGCTGTTGCTAATAATGTGCAACTAAATATGTTCCCAAAATAAATACTTAAGCAGCATAATGTGTTCTTTCTGTTCAGTTCTTTCTGGCTATACTGCTCTAATTATTGATTGATATGTGGGGTTTAACGTCCCAAAACCACTATATGATTATGAGAGACGCCGTAGTGGAGGGCTCCGGAAATTTCGACCACCTGGGGTTCTTTAACGTGCACCCAAATCTGAGCACACGGGCCTACAATGCTGCTCTAATTAGGAATACCAGAAACCTAACTAAACAGATGCTTTGCTTGAGTTAGGCAACTTCCAACATTTAATGAGAGCATGGTGGACAAGAAAAAGTTGTGTGCATTGACCAGATAGGAATAGCTTCAAACATCAACATGCATGCCAATGCATGTCAACGATACATTACAGGTATTTGCAAAGTCCTGCCCAACTTCGCCATGTCAGAATAGTAAGGATTTGTATTCAGAGGCGTTATAACAAGTTCCACATCACATTTGATTCACGCCTACCTACTACACTGGCTTTACACCCATACACAATACATGAAATGTGTTAGACGAGTTATATCAGTTCGCTGAGGAAAAAGATTATCGGTTTGCATGAGGGCCGAATGGGTGACATGCAAACGATTAAATAATAATGATTAATACACGACAAAATGCACATAAATTGATTCGTCAAATCATCACGAGAACATAAATTTAAGGTAAGGTGAAAGCTTCAAATTTACACGTATGAGTTATGCAAGTAGTTACATTACTGTACACACGGAATCCCACTTGTCTAGAGCGGTAAAGCGCGTACCTGTGGACACGGTTGTTGTCCACAGGTGCAACTTCACGTAAGCTACAAGCTTTGCGTTTGAATTATACCACAAGGGCCTAGGATGCAGTATTACGGTGTTGATCTTTGCAGATATTTGCAGAAAATGTCTGCTGAAGAGGCCGGTTGGGTGTTCTAGACAAGTGTAGTTCATTTGTGTTCAGTTAATGGGTGGCTTTAGTTTAGTCTGGCAAAAACGGTACTTGCACATCAAGCAGTAGTTCGGGCACACGTAAAGCATGTTTAACAGCAGTCCACTTACACAGAGCAGCCCAGCATATGCGTTTACACAGCCTCATAAAACAAAACTTTAACTAAATTTGGTTTGGGCGTGCATAGAATGGACAACATGCAATACATGCAAACATGATGCAACGCCTGAAAAACGTCGACAAATACGGTTCCAGTGATACGCCAGCTTTCAGTGATCCCATCCGTAAAGATCGGTGAGAAAGGTTCGTTCTTTCATTGGAACATCTTCGCCAACTCGACTGTAAGAGCTGTGACGGAATGGTTCTCGTTGCAGTACACTCACCTGACCTTGCAGGCTCACAGCATTGTACATAGAAAGCATTGTCGGAGCTTTTTGTAGGTTTAGCTCGACGCTGGCGCTACGTATGATTCGTTACGCAATATGTCTTAATTATAAATAACGCTAGCGTACGCGAAATTTGGCAAAATTGTGCGCTTTCATCTGGGCACGATGCGACCACCGGCACCGAATGACTGCAGTGCTATAGTGGCGTGCCCATAGCAGAGTGTGCGAGGAAAAGTGACAGTGCAGCTGGGCAGTGGCGGCGCTGCGATCGATACCTTCTGAAGACGTTCTCACATGATGATAGTTATAGCGCGAGAACAAAACGACGACACAGAGACAAGAATGACACAAGTAGGACGCAAGAAGGACTCTGTGTCGTCGTTTTGTTCTCGCGCTATAACTATCGTCATGCCATACTAACTAGCCTAAGATGCCACACTTCTACGTTCTCACAGTTTTCACAACATTGACCAGTTCACTGATGATATGAAGGAATGAAACGATTAACTGATAATGGCCATCAAATAAAATCCACGTCGCTAGCCACTGGCTCTCGAGAACACGGGCCGATATCAGTAGTCGGGGTAGCTGAGTGAGTAATCCCATGAAGCCGGGGGGGGGGGGGGGAGGCGTTGGATGGCCGTAGAGGCCCCTCCCCCTCCCGAAATTCGTTTGGAGGAGTGTGTTTTAATAATTACGAACTAATAAATGGGTGTTTTTTTTAAGTATTCGAGAAGTGGGCCCCCAAAAGAAAATTCGAGCCTGACAGTCACATTGCATACTGTACGTTTCCTAATGTGTCAACAGCACATATTATACAACAGGCGTGGGGGGGGGGGGGGGGTATAAATAATCGCGCAGTAAAAAATCATCAAAATTCACTTATAAATGCTTCGTACTCAAGAATTAACTGTTGTAATAAGACTCAGCAAGACATAACGTTGCAGCTGGTGTGTGATAAAATGATTATTAATGAGAGCACCCATACAGAAGACAACTATAGAAGAATTTTATAGTCACAAACGCCTACAGAAATAATTGTTCTCAAAAGGTTACCCACAGTACGATCAATATATTTTCTAAATGCGCTTTCTAATGTGAAGTGTGAGAGTAGTACACGCGTGTTGTCATTCAGCAACATCACTATATACATGAAAACCATCGTGAGAGCGCAACTAAACATGACACAAAGAAACAGACGAGGACAGTCGCTATTTTCGTCTTTTTCTTGTGTGCCGTGTAGTTTAGCTCTCACGATGGCTTCTATGTCAAAGCACCAACTCGCCTAACAGCTAGTAAACTCTTTTGAAGTTCATTCAATAGACATACGTGTCTGCACGCTTTGTTACAGACAAAATTGTTCCTCTGAGTGTCCGCTGGTGTAACGCATGCTTATACATATCATGCACAGCAAGCGCTTTTAGCGCTCGTAGCGGGCTAGCGTTTCGTCAATGCGTTCCGTGTAACTGTCAGCTGTATGGTGAACTAGAGTCAGCTGCAACCAGAGCGATTGTGGCGCCGCTAGTTTATTCGCCAACAACTCCATTGGGTGCAAAGCTGCGGGCAAAAGTGCGTTCCGAAACTCGGACATGCCATGACATGCCTTTGGCTATGATTGATTCTGCGGAACATGTGCGGGGCCTGCAGCGCTATTTGGGAGCAGCAGCAAAATACTTCGTGGCGTCACCCTGCGTGCGCTTCTCGCAAACGGCTCAACGACGCACTGGCGTCACAACAGTTAAGAATTTATCAATTTGTCTTTTTTTTTTGGTCCAGACATGACACGATGAAGCCTAGGAGGTTCTTCAGAATCTCTGGAGTGGCAGTCCCGGACGCCGCCAACGGGAGCAAGTGCCGCTGGCGGCCATATTGCTAGAGGAAAAATAGGGCAGAACCACCATTGACCGCAATGGAATACGCGTGCTGCGCGCGTCGGTTTGCAGTTCCACGATAAAAAAAATGAGATGGAAACCACTTTTAGGTTACACAAACGAATAAATGCCTATTCTTGTTTATGAAACAAATTATTTCATGCACCCATTGTCAGCTGCACGCTTTCAGATCAATCTGTTGTCGAGGGATGCATCGCATATCGAGCTCGCTGGCGCGCACTATTGCGGTATAAAAGGGTTGTAGTATATACGTATTGAGTGTTTTAATAAATGTGCCTGCAGATACTCAAGATCAAGGGGAACGTGGCATTTGCTCGCCTCTTTCTGCATTTGTGTTAGCGGATTACCAGATAATATGGAAGTTGAAATAATTAAAGCTAAAGTTAGAAAAGAGAGGAAATTAAGTAAACTGGGAGTCACCTGTAATTTTTCTAGAGTTATCAAATTCTAACCAATTTACTGGCGGAACCAAAACCGAAGCACCGATGTCGCGTGCAACTGACAAACTTCAGGAGACGTACCCCAAATAAACCGTTCATAAGAACGATTGCAGTGGCGTTAGTTCTGCATAATATTTATCAAATTTCATTGGCGACGTGTGTTGTCATGGCAAGCGCAGCCTTCAGAGCCTAGAAACGAGGTAGCTTGATGTTTGATATAACGCCACTCAATCGTTTTGGCAACTTCGTCTCTCGGCGTTTTGGTTTCGGTTTCATCGACAAGATAGAACGTATTTCAAAGGTGTCTCGTCTTGCGTTTTTACGTGACTACATTCTATTGAAGATAGGTCAAGGAGGTAGAAAATAACAGGCTTTTGCAGATGCGCTCGGAAAGCAGTCAAGGTGCACTGCCCGGCTGCGGCCCCACCGCGGTGGTCTAGTCATTCTGCTTCTGGTCACCGACGCGTGCGGACGCAGGATGGCAGGCTCCTCAAGAGCTGTTACAGCGGCCGACGCTAGCCGCGGTTTCTCGTGCACATCGCTTCCCAAGGACTACCGTTTAATTCTGCCACCACTGCCCACAGGAGAAGGACTCAGACGCACGTTGGTTCTGCACTGCGACATCGCAGCGCGTCCGTACGGGATTAACGACTTCCGAAAGCCGCTCAAGGAACTAGGCATCATTCAAGAGGTAAGCGGCATAGGAGCGTATCAGATGTCGCACGTCTGGCTTCTTAACATGAAGACAGATGAAGCCAAGAAGATAGTTCTGGACGCTGGCCTACTCTCCGTGAAAGACCGGCCCTGCGTCGTCGTCGACCCAGAAAGGCAAGAGGTGCGTCTCAAGTTGCATTGGGTAGCCTTTGACGTCAACGCAGAGACTGTACGGCGTGCTTTCCGGGAGTACGGTGAAGTGAAAGAAGTTATCAGCGACAAGTGGAGAGACGAAGACTTCGAAGGAGTTGAGTCAACCACAAGATTCGTTCGGCTACTACTCAAAGAAGGCGTTACTACGGATCGCATACCCCACCAGATGCGTCTCGGAAGCGGCATGGCACTGGTGGTCGTGCCAGGAAGAGCACCACTGTGCCTGCGTTGCCGGAACACGGGACACATTCGTCGCGACTGCAGGGTGCCCAGGTGCGCTGGTTGTCGCGCTTTTGGGCATGAGCAGGCGGACTGTACTCGTTCCTATGCCAGTGCAGCAAGTCGAGCAACAAATGCCGACCACAGTGAATTGCTCATGGATGAAGAGGAAGCAGAGAGGGCCGCGGCGTCGAAGGCAGGAGAGGAGGCGTCTCATGCAGTGGCGACCAGCGAGGAAAAGACGGAGACACCTAAGCAAGACGCAGGTACAGATGAAAATACGGTTGTTGGCACTCCAACGCCACGGCGTTCGACTCAAATGGAAACCCAGCACAAGGCTGAACCAGTCATCGGGTCCGACGCTACTTCGGACATGGATACAGTTGAAGCTACGCCAGTAAAGCGCCGCCTGAATGAGGGAGACGCGGCGTCCCAGCAGCGTCTGACCCAGGAAGATCAAGGGCAGTGGCGAGTGGCTGGCTCCAAAAAGTCTCGGGGTGCTGGCCGCCTGCGTTCGTCGTCGCTTTCACGCGGCGGCGACGGGACGACGCCGTGAGCGTCGGCCGGACAGTTGTTTAGGTGTTGGTAAGGTAAGCGTCTTTCGCTCGGCTTTCTCTCATCACGATGGCGACGATTAGATTGGCGACGCTAAATGTACGTGGGCTTTCTGCCAAACGGCGGCAAAACCAGCTTTACCGCCTGATTATAGAACAAGATCTGGCCATCGTCGCTGTACAGGAAACTAAAGTAGAGAGTGAAGAGCACGCTGAGCGAATGGTGCAGCCTTTCACGAGAGTGTTTGATGTGTGCGTTTGTCACGCGGTAGGTGCGTCTGCAGGTTGCCTCTTGTTAATTCGGCAGAGCCTAAATGCGAAAGTGGAGTCTGTAACTACCTGCGAGGCGGGTCGTTTTATTATATGTGATTTGTCCCTACCAAAAGAAAAATGGAGAGTAATCTGTGTGTACGCACCCACTGTGATTCAAGATCGAAAGGAGTTTTTTGAAAAAACTTGATGTGTATTTAAAATGTGAATGTAAACTAATTTTGGCTGGGGATTTCAACTGTGTTTGTTCGAGTATAGATAAATCAAGTTCCAGGTCATACAGAGATTCAAGCACTGCCGTTCTAATTGATATGGTGGCGAAAGCTCAGCTAGAGGACGTGGGTGAATGTCTTTGCAGTGGAAAAGGGGTTATGTTTACCCACTTTCAGCGTTCAAGCCATGCTAGACTTGACAGAGTATATGTGTCTTCCGAAATCATTCCTTCGTGCCATGATTACAGAGTTACACCTGTTACGTTTAGTGATCATTGTTTGGTTTCATTCTCAATGGGTAAACATAAAAGGAATAACAAACATTTCTCTTGGGACCTCTGGAAATTTAATGTAAAGCTACTAAAGGATGAAGAGTTTAATCGGATTTTTCTAGAGGGCATAGAAGACTTAGCAAATAGAACACTTGAACCCTGGGGACATAAGTGGGAAATATTTAAACAGACCATTAAACTGAAAGCACTTGAGAGAGCCAGTATCCTGAGACATGCTGAAAAAGAACTTGAAGTGCGTTTGCGTGAAAACTTGCAACAGTTAGTAGCGGATGAATGTACTCAGGCCGGAACATTTTCAGAGGAGATAAACATAACTAAACAGAAGCTAGAGTTGATAGACCAAGAACGTTATCGTGGAGCATTGATTCGAGCTCGAGCAGAAAACTTGGTAGCGGGAGAAATGCCAACAAAACGAGCTCTTGGAGCTGAGAAGAGACATGCCTGTAAGAATGAAATAAGAGAAATAGA